AGAAAGAGAGGTTTACCAGGTAACGAGGTGACTTTTGAGTCGACTCAAAAGCGGAAAGCAGAAGGGGGAGAGAAAGAGAGGTTTACCAGGTAACGAGGTGACTTTTGAGTCGACTCAAAAGCGGAAAGCAGAAGGGGGAGAGAAAGAGAGGTTTACCAGGTAACGAGGTGACTTTTGAGTCGACTCAAAAGCGGAAAGCAGAAGGGGGAGAGAAAGAGAGGTTTACCAGGTAACGAGGTGACTTTTGAGTCGACTCAAAAGCGGAAAGCAGAAGGGGGAGAGAAAGAGAGGTTTACCAGGTAACGAGGTGACTTTTGAGTCGACTCAAAAGCGGAAAGCAGAAGGGGGAGAGAAAGAGAGGTTTACCAGGTAACGAGGTGACTTTTGAGTCGACTCAAAAGCGGAAAGCAGAAGGGGGAGAGAAAGAGAGGTTTACCAGGTAACGAGGTGACTTTTGAGTCGACTCAAAAGCGGAAAGCAGAAGGGGGAGAGAAAGAGAGGTTTACCAGGTAACGAGGTGACTTTTGAGTCGACTCAAAAGCGGAAAGCAGAAGGGGGAGAGAAAGAGAGGTTTACCAGGTAACGAGGTGACTTTTGAGTCGACTCAAAAGCGGAAAGCAGAAGGGGGAGAGAAAGAGAGGTTTACCAGGTAACGAGGTGACTTTTGAGTCGACTCAAAAGCGGAAAGCAGAAGGGGGAGAGAAAGAGAGGTTTACCAGGTAACGAGGTGACTTTTGAGTCGACTCAAAAGCGGAAAGCAGAAGGGGGAGAGAAAGAGAGGTTTACCAGGTAACGAGGTGACTTTTGAGTCGACTCAAAAGCGGAAAGCAGAAGGGGGAGAGAAAGAGAGGTTTACCAGGTAACGAGGTGACTTTTGAGTCGACTCAAAAGCGGAAAGCAGAAGGGGGAGAGAAAGAGAGGTTTACCAGGTAACGAGGTGACTTTTGAGTCGACTCAAAAGCGGAAAGCAGAAGGGGGAGAGAAAGAGAGGTTTACCAGGTAACGAGGTGACTTTTGAGTCGACTCAAAAGCGGAAAGCAGAAGGGGGAGAGAAAGAGAGGTTTACCAGGTAACGAGGTGACTTTTGAGTCGACTCAAAAGCGGAAAGCAGAAGGGGGAGAGAAAGAGAGGTTTACCAGGTAACGAGGTGACTTTTGAGTCGACTCAAAAGCGGAAAGCAGAAGGGGGAGAGAAAGAGAGGTTTACCAGGTAACGAGGTGACTTTTGAGTCGACTCAAAAGCGGAAAGCAGAAGGGGGAGAGAAAGAGAGGTTTACCAGGTAACGAGGTGACTTTTGAGTCGACTCAAAAGCGGAAAGCAGAAGGGGGAGAGAAAGAGAGGTTTACCAGGTAACGAGGTGACTTTTGAGTCGACTCAAAAGCGGAAAGCAGAAGGGGGAGAGAAAGAGAGGTTTACCAGGTAACGAGGTGACTTTTGAGTCGACTCAAAAGCGGAAAGCAGAAGGGGGAGAGAAAGAGAGGTTTACCAGGTAACGAGGTGACTTTTGAGTCGACTCAAAAGCGGAAAGCAGAAGGGGGAGAGAAAGAGAGGTTTACCAGGTAACGAGGTGACTTTTGAGTCGACTCAAAAGCGGAAAGCAGAAGGGGGAGAGAAAGAGAGGTTTACCAGGTAACGAGGTGACTTTTGAGTCGACTCAAAAGCGGAAAGCAGAAGGGGGAGAGAAAGAGAGGTTTACCAGGTAACGAGGTGACTTTTGAGTCGACTCAAAAGCGGAAAGCAGAAGGGGGAGAGAAAGAGAGGTTTACCAGGTAACGAGGTGACTTTTGAGTCGACTCAAAAGCGGAAAGCAGAAGGGGGAGAGAAAGAGAGGTTTACCAGGTAACGAGGTGACTTTTGAGTCGACTCAAAAGCGGAAAGCAGAAGGGGGAGAGAAAGAGAGGTTTACCAGGTAACGAGGTGACTTTTGAGTCGACTCAAAAGCGGAAAGCAGAAGGGGGAGAGAAAGAGAGGTTTACCAGGTAACGAGGTGACTTTTGAGTCGACTCAAAAGCGGAAAGCAGAAGGGGGAGAGAAAGAGAGGTTTACCAGGTAACGAGGTGACTTTTGAGTCGACTCAAAAGCGGAAAGCAGAAGGGGGAGAGAAAGAGAGGTTTACCAGGTAACGAGGTGACTTTTGAGTCGACTCAAAAGCGGAAAGCAGAAGGGGGAGAGAAAGAGAGGTTTACCAGGTAACGAGGTGACTTTTGAGTCGACTCAAAAGCGGAAAGCAGAAGGGGGAGAGAAAGAGAGGTTTACCAGGTAACGAGGTGACTTTTGAGTCGACTCAAAAGCGGAAAGCAGAAGGGGGAGAGAAAGAGAGGTTTACCAGGTAACGAGGTGACTTTTGAGTCGACTCAAAAGCGGAAAGCAGAAGGGGGAGAGAAAGAGAGGTTTACCAGGTAACGAGGTGACTTTTGAGTCGACTCAAAAGCGGAAAGCAGAAGGGGGAGAGAAAGAGAGGTTTACCAGGTAACGAGGTGACTTTTGAGTCGACTCAAAAGCGGAAAGCAGAAGGGGGAGAGAAAGAGAGGTTTACCAGGTAACGAGGTGACTTTTGAGTCGACTCAAAAGCGGAAAGCAGAAGGGGGAGAGAAAGAGAGGTTTACCAGGTAACGAGGTGACTTTTGAGTCGACTCAAAAGCGGAAAGCAGAAGGGGGAGAGAAAGAGAGGTTTACCAGGTAACGAGGTGACTTTTGAGTCGACTCAAAAGCGGAAAGCAGAAGGGGGAGAGAAAGAGAGGTTTACCAGGTAACGAGGTGACTTTTGAGTCGACTCAAAAGCGGAAAGCAGAAGGGGGAGAGAAAGAGAGGTTTACCAGGTAACGAGGTGACTTTTGAGTCGACTCAAAAGCGGAAAGCAGAAGGGGGAGAGAAAGAGAGGTTTACCAGGTAACGAGGTGACTTTTGAGTCGACTCAAAAGCGGAAAGCAGAAGGGGGAGAGAAAGAGAGGTTTACCAGGTAACGAGGTGACTTTTGAGTCGACTCAAAAGCGGAAAGCAGAAGGGGGAGAGAAAGAGAGGTTTACCAGGTAACGAGGTGACTTTTGAGTCGACTCAAAAGCGGAAAGCAGAAGGGGGAGAGAAAGAGAGGTTTACCAGGTAACGAGGTGACTTTTGAGTCGACTCAAAAGCGGAAAGCAGAAGGGGGAGAGAAAGAGAGGTTTACCAGGTAACGAGGTGACTTTTGAGTCGACTCAAAAGCGGAAAGCAGAAGGGGGAGAGAAAGAGAGGTTTACCAGGTAACGAGGTGACTTTTGAGTCGACTCAAAAGCGGAAAGCAGAAGGGGGAGAGAAAGAGAGGTTTACCAGGTAACGAGGTGACTTTTGAGTCGACTCAAAAGCGGAAAGCAGAAGGGGGAGAGAAAGAGAGGTTTACCAGGTAACGAGGTGACTTTTGAGTCGACTCAAAAGCGGAAAGCAGAAGGGGGAGAGAAAGAGAGGTTTACCAGGTAACGAGGTGACTTTTGAGTCGACTCAAAAGCGGAAAGCAGAAGGGGGAGAGAAAGAGAGGTTTACCAGGTAACGAGGTGACTTTTGAGTCGACTCAAAAGCGGAAAGCAGAAGGGGGAGAGAAAGAGAGGTTTACCAGGTAACGAGGTGACTTTTGAGTCGACTCAAAAGCGGAAAGCAGAAGGGGGAGAGAAAGAGAGGTTTACCAGGTAACGAGGTGACTTTTGAGTCGACTCAAAAGCGGAAAGCAGAAGGGGGAGAGAAAGAGAGGTTTACCAGGTAACGAGGTGACTTTTGAGTCGACTCAAAAGCGGAAAGCAGAAGGGGGAGAGAAAGAGAGGTTTACCAGGTAACGAGGTGACTTTTGAGTCGACTCAAAAGCGGAAAGCAGAAGGGGGAGAGAAAGAGAGGTTTACCAGGTAACGAGGTGACTTTTGAGTCGACTCAAAAGCGGAAAGCAGAAGGGGGAGAGAAAGAGAGGTTTACCAGGTAACGAGGTGACTTTTGAGTCGACTCAAAAGCGGAAAGCAGAAGGGGGAGAGAAAGAGAGGTTTACCAGGTAACGAGGTGACTTTTGAGTCGACTCAAAAGCGGAAAGCAGAAGGGGGAGAGAAAGAGAGGTTTACCAGGTAACGAGGTGACTTTTGAGTCGACTCAAAAGCGGAAAGCAGAAGGGGGAGAGAAAGAGAGGTTTACCAGGTAACGAGGTGACTTTTGAGTCGACTCAAAAGCGGAAAGCAGAAGGGGGAGAGAAAGAGAGGTTTACCAGGTAACGAGGTGACTTTTGAGTCGACTCAAAAGCGGAAAGCAGAAGGGGGAGAGAAAGAGAGGTTTACCAGGTAACGAGGTGACTTTTGAGTCGACTCAAAAGCGGAAAGCAGAAGGGGGAGAGAAAGAGAGGTTTACCAGGTAACGAGGTGACTTTTGAGTCGACTCAAAAGCGGAAAGCAGAAGGGGGAGAGAAAGAGAGGTTTACCAGGTAACGAGGTGACTTTTGAGTCGACTCAAAAGCGGAAAGCAGAAGGGGGAGAGAAAGAGAGGTTTACCAGGTAACGAGGTGACTTTTGAGTCGACTCAAAAGCGGAAAGCAGAAGGGGGAGAGAAAGAGAGGTTTACCAGGTAACGAGGTGACTTTTGAGTCGACTCAAAAGCGGAAAGCAGAAGGGGGAGAGAAAGAGAGGTTTACCAGGTAACGAGGTGACTTTTGAGTCGACTCAAAAGCGGAAAGCAGAAGGGGGAGAGAAAGAGAGGTTTACCAGGTAACGAGGTGACTTTTGAGTCGACTCAAAAGCGGAAAGCAGAAGGGGGAGAGAAAGAGAGGTTTACCAGGTAATCATGATGCCCTTCCAGATGCAACGCTTTTTTTAGGCACCTCAAAAGACGTTCTTTGAGGTGTCTAAAAAATTGAAAGCAGAGGGAGAAAGCAAGAGAGGGTTACCAGGTAGTCGTGATGCTCCTCTACGTAAAGCGGCACTAGCTTGCCTTCAGTCCCACCCCCACCACCACTCGCACCCCCCCCACCACCACCACCACTGCCAACTCCCCCATTGTCAGCAGCAGCAGCAGCAGCAGGGGAGGAGGCGTGCCAGCGGCAGGAGGTGAAGCGGTGGCCCTGGTGCATGGGGAGTGATGCTAGCCCCAGCACTGCCACCGTTGATGCATTCACTCGGTAGGCGCTGGGGAGGGGGTGGAGGAGGGACGTGGATTGGGGCACGGGAAGGACGCAGGAGAGGAGAAGCAGCAGCATTGGTGTGCCAGCGGCAGGAGGAGAAGCGGCGGCCGTGGTGCATGGGGAGAGACGCCAGCCCCAGCACTGCCACCGTAGACGCATTTACCCGGGAGGCACTGGGGGGGTTTGGAGGGATGTGGGCGGGGTGAGGGAAAAGAATGGGAAGCATGGCAGTGGCAGGAGGAGAAGAGGTGGCCGAGGTGCATGGGGAGAGATGCCAATCCTAGAGCTGCCACCGTGGATGCATTCACTCGAAAGGCGCTGGAAGGGGAAGGACGGGTGTTGGTGGGGTCAGGAGAAGGCAGGAGTGGGGGGGAGGGGGGGGGGGGGCAGGTGATGAGGCAGGGGAAGTGGCAGGAGATGGTGTTAGGTTCTTGCAACGATCCAAGCATACATACTGTGACAGATTGCTAGGATTGAGAAGTACAACATATTCGAAAGATTTCGAGCCGACTGGAAACATCGACTCACTCACTACATGCGGTTTTGAGTCGACTCAAGAATTGAGAAGTACAACAACGAATTCGAATCTTGTCGCGACGCATTGAATCAATACAGGCAGGAGATCTCCCGAAGGGTTGATGAATACATTATACAACAAAATCGGAGTTCATCCATTCTCATCCAGATCTGCACCCCCAGCCCCCTCCTCTCACTCACCTGCACGCCCGGCTCCTGCCAGCCACCTGCCCATCCCCATCCCCCTCCTTATCCTCATCACCCCTCCTTATCCCCTTATGCGACTGCGCCCAGCCCCCTCCTCTCACCTGAACTTGATGAATCTGAACGAGCCATGGTGCTGAAAGGATCGTTGCTTTCAGAGGTGTCGATCGGTTGACTGTGTTTCCAGCCGACAGTGTTTTGTGACGATTCAGAACACGTGCGCCCAGCCTCCCCTCTTCTCACCACCTCTCACCTGAACTTGATGAATCTGAACGACCCGTGGCGCTGGAAGAATCGTTGCTTCCAGAGGTGTTCTGGCTCAACTTACCAGCCTGTTTTTCAGTCGACTAAGACCACACCCACCCAGCCCCCTCCCCTCACCTGAACTTGACGAATCCGAACGACCCGTGCCGCTGGAAGGCCCGTTGCTTCCAGAGTGAGGGGCGATCATCCGCCACCCAGAAGTGCATCAGCTGCTCCTGCCGCCGCTTCTGCCCCCATGCCACTGCGCCCACCCCCCTCGCTCTCACCTGAACTTGATGAATCCGAACGACCCGTGCCGCTGGAAGGCCCGTTGCTTCCACTGTGAGGGCCTTTCATCCGCCACCCAGAAGTGCTTCAGCGGCTCCTGCCGCCCCTTCTGCCACTGCTCCGGCTGTGCCAACTCCCCCTCCTCGTCGCCCTCTTTATCCCCACCCTCACCCAAGGGGAAACCATCCCTGCCATCCCTCTGCTGCACCTCGTTGCTTCCAGAGGCTTCCTGAGTTCTTGCAAGGGAAGGAAAAGGCGCAGAATGTGCTTTAAATAGGCGCCTCATTGCCTCAACAACAGACTCCCTATTTTTTCTGCAGGGAAATCAAGGAATGGAACGGGAAAAAGCTTGGGTCGTATAAATTCTACAACATTTCTATGAAAAGGGTGGATGGAATCCCCACCACTCTTCCCAACCCATCCCAACCCACCTGCATCGCTCGCACTTGCGCCTCCAGCTTCCTTGCGTGCTGCCCGACAATATCTTTCAGCTGCCCGACGTCCTGGCTCATGGCTTTCAGCCTGCCCTGCTCGTGCTGCCACCAGTCCGCCACGTCAGCAGCGGCCCGTGCACTGTCCTGCTTCGTCTGCAGCATCTCCAACCCCATCTTCTCCACCCCCTGTGCTACTTGACCCTTCAGCTCCTTCCTGCTCTGCTCCAGAAGCTCTGAGACAAGGAGAGAGAAGGTTTGGGGTTGGCAGAAAGGGGGGGAGCGGGAGGAAGTAAAGAATGCCTGCTTCGTCTGCAGCATCTCCAACCCCATCTTCTTCACCCCTTGAGTTACTTGCCCCTTCAGCTCTTTCCTGCTCTGCTCCAGAAGCTCTGAGAGGGGAATAATTTGGGGTTGCCAGCAGACGGGTGGGGAGAGTGGGAAAAGGTATGGCTGCTGCACCTGCTGCTGCACCTGCTGCTGCACCTGCTGCTGCCTCGTCTGCAGCATCTCTAACCCCATCTTCTTCACCCCTTGAGTTACTTGCCCCTTCAGCTCTTTCCTGCTCTGCTCCAGAAGCTCTGAGAGGGGAATAATTTGGGGTTGCCAGCAGAAGGGTGGGGAGAGTGGGAAAAGGTATGGCTGCTGCACCTGCTGCTGCACCTGCTGCTGCACCTGCTGCTGCCTCGTCTGCAGCATCTCTAACCCCATCTTCTCCAGCCCCTCTGCTACTTCACCCTTCATTTCCCGCCGGCTTCCAGAAGTTCTAAAAGAGGGAGGGAGAGAGACATCAAACTGCATGTCTGTACCCCTGCTGAATCATTACAACGGACCATTTGAGAGAGAGACATCACAGCCACAGGAGGGAGACATGTTTGGGGAGGGAGGCAAGGTTTCTCTAGCTCCTGCTTCGTCTGCAGCATCTCTATCCCCATCTTCTCCACCCCCTCGGCCACCTGCCCCTTGCGCTCTCGACTGCTCTGCTCCAGCAGCTCTGGGAGGAGCAGAGAGAAACACATCACAGGCACCGACAGGCACCGGAGGGGGATTCGGTGGAGGTGAGGTGGAGCGGAACAAGGAGGCGATCTGGACTCTGGAGCCCAATACACGACACACTCGTTTGTGGCATCTCAAGGCCCACTCGTACATGCACATGCACATGCACATGCACACACACACGCACACGCACACACACACAAGAAGTATACTCACTGTGCAAGGAGAGGACGTCACTGGCTGTGTGGGCCAGCAGTGTTCGGTAGTTGAACTGGTGCGCCCTGCTCTGATGGGTCCATGCATGTATGAGCGCATGCCCGTGCCCATGCACATACACATGCACATGCACATGCACATGCGAAGCGAATGCATATGCACATGCACATGAACACACTCATGCATATGCAACAACATGCAGCGAGGGGCACATGCGGAAGGAGAGGCAGATGCAGAAGTGTGGAGAGGAAACAAGGGACACTCCACTCCCCTCGCTCCACCCACTCTCTTAGTCTCATCTCATCACTCCCCTCACTCACCACCTAAATCTCTTGACGACACCTCAAGCACCTGAGAACCTGAAGGCAGCAGAAGACACCTGAAGGCACCTAAAGGCACCTGCTGTCCTCAGGTGTCTTCTGCTGCGGCAACCTGCCTGAACATTCGGTCTCACCTTGGTCGATTTGCTGCCCACGAAGTCGTCCTGTGGTAACCGCATGGGCCCCAGCTCCGGTAACCACATCAGGTACAGCTGGCGCAGGAGGAGGGGAGAAGGGGGAGATGAGAAGGGAGGAGGGAAGGCTTTCGAGGCGCCTCAGAAGCTGTCTCTGGTAACCACATCAGGTACAGCTGATGCAGCCGGAGAGGAGAAGGGGGGAGCTTGGGAGGGATGGGTGGGAGGAGAGGGATGGAAAGGGAGGGAGTAGGGTGGAAGGGAGGGACGGGAAGGGAGGAGGGGAGAGATGGGAAGGGAGGAGGGGAGGAATGGGAAGAGAGGGAGAGGGGGGAGAGGGAAGCATGTGTGTTGAGTGAGTGACGCATGTGTTGTGTGGCTAGAGAAGACTCGCAGCACGGAGGCATGGGGTAGGGAGGGCAATGGAGAGGGGAAGGCAAAGCGGAGAGTGGGTGGGAGGGCGCGCGCACCTGGAGAGTGGAGAGGGCGAGGAAGGGCAGCATGAGGCAGAGGTAGTTCACTGCCTGTATGGGCGCACACAAGAGCCAATGGGGAGAGCGGAGAGGTAGAGGTAGAGTCAACGTGCAGTCAACGTGCAGTCAACGTGCAGTCAACGTGCAGTCAACGTGCAGTCAACGTGCAGTCAACGTGCAGTCAGCTTGGAAGGGTAGCATGAGGCACAGGTAGTTGATCGCCTGTATGGGCGCAACAGAAGGGGTGAAGAGGGAGAGGGGAGGAAGAATGTGCGGATTGAAGGAAGCAGGAGGGGAGAGAGCCAACCTTCCCGTGATGCAACCTTCCCTCACGCACTTATCATATCCCCCCCTTTCCTCATCATCCCTCCCTCCCATCTCGCCTCCCCCTTCCCCCCATCCCCCCAAACTCTTCTCTATCTTCCGCCTTGACCCCTCCCCCCTTCCCCACCCCATTCCCTCCTCCTCACCGCCTGTCGCGGAAACAGTCCGCCATGCGCGCGCGGACTGCCAGCGCCGCGGAAGCCGCCTTTGGGGCTCGACGCCTGCCCATCGGCGGCTTCCCCCGCCCCCGCCGATCCCCCCGCGCGGCTGCCAGCGCCAACGACGGCGGAAATTCCGCCGTTTATTGCGGCGCCTGCTGCGCCCAGCGCTAGCGCCGCCATCTTGACGCTCCCTGACAACGTCCGCGCGCCTGCGGCGTGGCGGGGCACGGCGGACGACGCCATGCGCGCATGCGGAGCGGAAACCGCCGCGGGATGGTGATTGTCGCCGCCACTGGCGACAATCGCGGCTGCCTGGTGACGTAGTAGCACAGACGGATTGCGGCTCGACTGCTACTAGCTATCCTACTTCCACCAGCAGTAACAATTTTATTCGTATAGTCGGATTGTCGTATTGCGACACGTGCAGCGAGGCGTTGTCTTAGATCAGGGCGACTCGGAAGGTGGGAAGGCGAGGGAGGGGAGGGAAAGCGATGCAATGACGGGTTATTGTTGAGAGTGAGCGAGGCGTTCGGTGATAGACCAGTACTACGGCTCGAAGCGGGTGCTGAATTGTACACTGCGGGACAGCATCTGCGCCGTTCGAGCAATGTGACCAGGCTTGGAGGAAATAGAGACCCCGGGCGCGGCGCGACTCCTAGTGCGCTCCTCGTGTGACTCCTTGTGCGACCCCAGACCCAGGGTTCCTCTAGAGCTGGATGGATACAGTAGCGGGATTCCACGAGTAGATTTATTTTATCTGTCGCGCTGCAAGCGGGTATCGGCTGGTGGCGATCATCCGTTGTTTGGTCCTACCGCCTTTGTCATTTCTCGCGCTGAATCCCTCCTGGCATTTGGTCCTTCTGAGGAATACCCGATATGAACCTCTCACTCACTAGCTATCAGCCAGGACACATACCGAAGATTGGCTCCCAGAGTTGAATTCTACTCACACCTTTGAACCGAAGAAAAAATACACTTGCGAATAACTGTGCTGTGCTGTATGTACCGTACACTCGGAATCCCTATTGAAGCTTTGCCGCCGTTTTATTTCCCGTTGACCTGAACATTGCCTCGCCCAATGCCACGATTTGCAGGAAAGCTGCCTATCAAACTGACGAACCTGACGTGCTTCACGATGTAAACCGTCAAAAGTTTTCAGGAGCCTAACGCTAAGTTCTAGTGGCTAAGTTTTCAGGAGCCCAGCGCCTAAAAATCGACTCCCGCTAAGTTCTAGGTGTTAGGTCAGAGCTGACAAGAAAGCATTGGGGTAGGAATCATTTCAAGACCAGAGACACACCAATCTCATCAAGTCAAGCAAACGTCGAGAGGAACAAACGTCAGGTCGGTGAATTCCGATGTCGCGCCGCGCATTGTGTGAGATCGCACGACCGAATCGTCTTGTCAACTGTCGCATGTGTGGGCACTTCCCACAGTTGCTGGAATTGGCGTGTGTGCGATCGACAGAAGGTGAGCCACAGCGACTGATCGCAAACACGCGAGGTCAAATGTGACTGCAGTGGTTTGCGATTCATTCATATGTCTCACGGTCATCGTCAAATCACGGAAGAACCAATCCAACGCGACACGCTTCACCTCACCCCCATGACCAACACGTCTCCAAGCGTTCGCTTTCTCTAAGCATTCCATTCAACCGTTCATCATAACAAACAAACAGGTCCGAAATCCTTAATAACCTCTCTTAACCTCTGTGAAGTCAAATCCCTAGAAACATTTACACTCATTTCATCTCTCCTGCTGAGCACATCTTTGGTGTCCATGAAAACTCCCTTCCGCCCACCACACTCATCCCCTGGATCAGCCTCCCTAGGGATCGTTAGACGCAATAGGGACCACATGAAGCCATCAGGTGCAGCTGTGAGAACTAAGCTGCATGTGCAGTGAGTTTTCCTTGTCTGATAAGGGCCCTCGAACTCATACTAAGTAACGTTCCGCCCTAGCCTTGCACTGTAATAAGGTAGTAGATGTAGAAACAGATCACCGTCAAGCTAAATGCCTGCAAGACCACCCGCATCCCTGGCTCACCCCGATTGGTAGTGGGTTCAGTAAACTTATCAGAACCAGACGTCCGATATCTTCGCCGTCAGATGCGTTCTTCCTCTCCTGGTAGACTCGCGGCGATAACCGCGGTATCAGATAGTTCTCCCATGCACGCCCACTTTTGACGCGCTTCGAAGGGCTCGCGGCGATGGCGGCATCGGGCAGAACTCCCGTGGGAGTCCAGCGAAGCGTTACGGAAAGCTCTCTGGCGGAGCGCCGCCGCAATCGCGTCGGTCGCATTACTCCGCTCGCCGTCCCCAAGCCGTGTGGCTTTGACGAGATTAATATTGTTCCTTCCGACAATGGCCCGCCGGATTACGCGGCAGAGTTAGCATCATCATCATCGTCAACCTCCCATGGCTTTCCGCCGTACCGATTTGGCGACCCTTCCGTCACGCGGCGAAGATCGCAAGTTTGTCTTGAATCACCCGCCTATCGCGTTCGTCGAGAGGTCGATCGCGATTTTCCATCACTGCGCGAAACCCCCGTTCATTGCCACCCGAGTAGCAACAGCAGCAGTTATCTGCCGTCTTTCACTGACTTGATCGACTCCTTTGCGCCCCCGCCTCCGCCTCCGCTCCCATGGAATCTCTCCGCGCTCGTCAGTCCGCGCATGCCTTCCCCCCCCGCGTGGCGCAACTCTCGCGCATTCTCATCCAGCCCGCTTACGCTGTCGGAAACTCCCGGCGTCGGCGGCGCAGGCGGTACCGGCGGCGCGGTGACGCACGTTCTCCCGATGTGGCCCCCCGCATACCCTCAAGAGGTCCACCCGCGCCCGCAACAGCACCCGCCGCGGGCGCAAGAGCACGCGCACGCGCATTCGCAACCGCAGCAGCGCCCAGCGCCGCCGCGCGCACGACCTCCGCCGCTCACGGTGGAGGAGCTGGCGGCGCAGCGCTTCCTGGCGGGGCTAGGGGGAGCGGAAGCCGCCGTGGCGGAGTCTCTCGCGCAACACCGCCATCCGCGGAGTTCCCGCGCAGACCGCCCAAGTCCCAGCGATGGGAAGCCAACAGGGCTGCCGGCTAGCCGGCATGGTAATGGCCAATCGAGGAGCTGCGGGTTTCAAGAAGCGGAAACACATGGTGGCATGCGGGGAAATCGTATGGTTCCCTGCGACGGGTACACCCCAGCAGGTCCGATCGGGGACTCACCAGCAGGCCCGATCGGGAACTCGAAGAGGGACTCGCCAGTAGGTCGAGGGACGCTTGGACGGTCCAACGAGTGCGCCGACTCGAGTCAAGCCCATGAGGGCCACCGTAATCCAGATCCTCGCAATTCGGATCCCCGCTATCTTGATCCCCGCTATAGTGATCCCTCCTATGTTGATCCCCGCTATAGTGATCCTTGCCGGAGGTTGCAGCGGCACCAGACGTGGAATTGCGCGGACGACCGTCGCGCGCGGAGGAGCGGATGGCGGGACGTGGCCGCGGAGCCCAGGGGGGGGATCGGTCACGCGGCGACGCCCCAGGGGAGGAGCGGACACGCGGCGGAGCCGGGGGTACGACACGTTGGAAAGACGCGCGAATGGGCGGCGCGCAGCGGATTGAAACTGGACACGTCGGTGACAATTTTCGAGGCGCCTCGAGAATCGACTGGGACGGGGGACCGGGTGACGGCGCTGCGCGGCAGTATCGAGACGAGCAGCTGGGAAGGTACGCGCGAGGGCGGAGTAAAAAAAACGCGCTGGGCGCCTGGCATCTCGTCGGGTGTGAGGTGAGGCCCTGTTGGGAGAAAGCTGCGTCACCTCGGAAGCTGTTAGGTTGGGGAATGTCGCTCGAGAAAGTGGGGAGGGGAGAAGGGGGGGGGGGGGGGGGGGGGTGGGGGGGATATTACAGAGTCTGGGTGATTTGCGTTTCGGCAGCTGCTTCTCTCCCAGTCGCTCCAGCGGCAGTGGGGAAGGGGAGAGTCAGTGGAACGGGGTAGTGCCGGGGCTGGGGAGGCGCACCGCGTGTGTGTGTCTCCGGACCTCCCCTTCCGCTCACGGTCCCTTCTCTCTCCTGCCCGCTCTCCCCTTTCTGCCGCGCCTTCTCCCATCCTCTCCTTCCTCTCACACTTCCCCAGCGTCCCTCCCCTTCCCCTTCCAACCAAGCGGAGGAAGAAGCGCGGTGCCGTCAGCTGTCGCACGCAAACGAGCGTGTGTGTTTCCTCTCAACCTCCTGTCTCGCCCCTCCTCCTCCCTCCCATGCAGAGGTAGAAGCGCGGTGCAGGCAACTCTCACACGCCAACGTGGACATCACCGCCATGGACCTCACATGCTCACATGCCCTTCTCACTCTCCTTTGCACCCTTCCACCCTCCCGTCGTTTCGGTGCTGTGCACAGAGGTGGAAGCGAGGTGCCGCCAGCTCTCCCACGCCAACGTGGACATAACCGCAATGGACCTCACGCACCTGCCTCCCTCTCCCGCTCCCTATCCCGGTCCCACCCTCTCGCCCCTCCCCCTCCCCCTGCAGAGGTAGAAGCGCGGTGCAGGCAACTCTCACACGCCAACGTGGACATAACCGCCATGGACCTCACGCACCTGCCTCCCTCCCCCGCGCCCACTCCCACAACCGCTACTCGCTTCTCTCGCCCGCTCCCGCTCCTCTCCCCGTCCGCCGCCTCTGCTGCCGCCTCTGCTGCTGCTTCTGCGTTCAAATCCGTGTCGCGCGCTGCCCTCGCCATCACGTCCCCTCGCTCTGACCCCCGCTCGGGCCTGCCCCTGCCTAGTCCGAGAAGTCTTCTGAGTTTGCCCAGTCCGAGAGGTCTTTTTAGTATGCCTAGCCCTAGGGGCGTGCTCAGTCTCGCCTCCCCTGGACCTACCGGGAATAAGCAGCGCCACCAGTGGCAGCAGCGGGAGGAGCGGGAGGAGGAGAGGTGGGCGGTTGGGGAGGGGCAGGCGAGTGAGGAGGCCGAGATGGTTGGGGAGGTTGAAGCGATTGAGGAGGGGTGGGAGCAGGATGAGGAGCAGAGCGGCAGGACGCAGCAGCAGATGCAACAATGTGTGGGAGTAGAGGAGTGGCAGCAGCAGGAACAGCAGCAGCATCAGCATTCACGGGAGCAGCAGAGACGTGAGGAGAAGCAGCAGCAGAGGGCAGAAGAATCGAGCAGGGCAGTTGACAAGCAGACGACAGACGCAAACACTCAGCAGCAGTCAGCAAGGGAGCAGCAGGGCAGCTCAAGCCCTCGGATGCCATCTCTGTGCCCCTCCTGCCTGCCCGCCCTGCCCTCCTCCTCCTGCTCCCTGCTCTCCCTTCCGTCCCGCCGCCGACACTCCACTGGACGCAGGGCGGAAGCACAGGCAGGGGTATCAGCTCCAAAGGCAAGGGCCAGGGTAAAAGTGGGGACAGAGGCAAGGGCAGAGACAAGGGTAGAGGTGCAGAAGGCTGCTACGATGGGGCAGATGGGAAACCGAAGTGCTGGTGAATGCTTTTGCAATAACTGCTACCACCACAGCGGCAGCTCTGAGCGTGGTGTGGAGAGTGGTGAACTGATGGGTGCGAGGTTGAGTGGGAGGAGGAGTAGGAGCGAGGTGACAAGCTGGAGTGGGGAGGTGGGAGTGTGGGGCAGGATCAAGGGCACCGCCCGGAGGTCTGGTAACCTGGACCTCGCTATAAGCAGACTCAGGGAGTTCGCTTTTGCGCACGGGTACTGCAATGAGGGAGTGCAGGAGGGGGATGGTGGTTATATGGGAGCATCACGTGTGGGCTCTGGTGTTGCAGCGTGCATGAGCAACTGTAGCAGCAAGAGCAATGGTGGGAGAATGAACAGCAGTAAGAACAAGAGCAGTGGTGGGAACTTGAGCAGCAGTGGGAATAAGAGCAGCGGTGGGGTTAGAAGGAAGGAGGGGTTGCAGTAGCGAGGGCGGGCGCTTGAAGGGGCGCTTGAAGGGGGAGGCTCTGTGGAACCACTGGACTCGCTGGGCTCTCCCTCAGTGCGCGTGGCCGACTGTGCAGCCCTGCACGGGCTGTCAGTTTCCATGCCAAAGCAGGACGGGAGGGATCGGCAGGCTGGGCTGAAGGGAGTGAGAGGAGTGGATGAGGAGGGTGTCTGGGAGAGCATTGCAGGCAGAGCAGTGCGACGAGGCAAGCAGGTGGAAGGGCGAGAGGAGGAGCAAGTGCGGCGTGTGCTGTCTTTTACTGAGGGCACTGTTCAAGCGAATGGTGGTGCCGCCTCTTTTCATCGCACTTCCGCTGCTGCCGCTGCTGCTGCCGAAGGTCCTCCTACACGTCTCCCCTGCTCCTCCGTCTCCTCCTCTGGTCAACTCACCACTGCTAAATCGTCATCCCTCTCATCCCGCCAGCTCAGCATCACAACCTTCTCACTCTCCTCACCAGCTAGCTCCATCCCCACGGGTCCTTACAGCCTCGCAAACAGCACCCATCTCACCTACCCCGACTATAACCACTGCCCCGAGTATCTTGACTGCCGTGACTGCCCTGAATCCCTTGACTGCCTTGACTGTTTTGACTACCCCGAACCCCCTCTCTCTGTGCGCTCCACTCACTCACTGCCCTCCACTCACTCTGTAACCGCCGCTGCCAGCTTCTCTCGCTCCAGGACTATCAGGGCTGCAAGTCTTCCTCCTGTAGAGTTAAGCAGGCCAGCTCTGCAGCGCACGGACGGTGTAGGAGCACTAGTTGCAGCAACTAGAAGTGGCCCTATGTTCTGAGACCTTATAGTGAATTCGGAGGCATGCCATTCGTTGGATCAGCTTCTGTTTGAATGCTGTATGTTGCTCTGTGCTGGTTGGTGTTACTCTCGACGTATGCCATACCATAACAAAGTTTTGAGGAAACTGTCTGAAACGTGTATCCATGCTATTGTATACGAAACTAGCGGCATGTGCTGGCTAGTTCGTTACTTGGCATGTGAGTCCCGTGAGGGGTATGCTAATAACGAATTTCATTGAACTTCAACCTTCGACGGTGAGGGGTATGTCTCGAGATTTGAGGATGTGATAGCGACGCTGAACGGAAATTTGTGCAATACTGGGAGTATCTGTACCACTCCCGACTCGCTCGACCATTTCAATAAAATTCACTGTAGTCACATAAACTCGATGCAGCGTCTCTCACTGAGCGCCCTCCACCTCTTCACGCTCTTCATTATAGTCCCCGTGATTTCCATTAGCGCTGGTGCCGGCGCCGCTTCTGTCACCGACAATTCTGACGGCCAACAAGACGGCTGCACGTGCTACCATGTGCGAAACGATTTTTGCTGCCAGGCCGGCCAGGTCCTCTGCTCCTGCCGGTCCGTCTGCTTTAACGGCGACGCATTCACGGGCGTCAGCTATGCACCGTGCCGGCAGCCACAGGACGCCTCCGATTCTCTCTTTCCTGATCAGACGACCCAAGCCGTCGATCCACTCATTCCTATAGGCTGCATGGACGGACGCGGTAGGTCGTACAAGGCCGCGCTGCGACTTATAACGAAGGATAACATGCAGCTGCATACGGAACGGGGGAGAACCAGGCGGAGAAAGCGGCGGAGAGTGAAGGGGAGGGGGAAGAGTGGCGACGAACAGGAAGACGACACGTGGCAGGAGGGAACTTCGGCGTTTTTGTTTTTGGACGACTCGGAGGGAAACATCGCGCATTTCGTGCGGAAGGCACATAATCTCCTGCTGCTTCTCAATCAATCTTCTTCCTCCTCGTCCTCCTCCTCCTCCTCTACCTCTTCCTCCCCATCTCTCAACCGCTCCCCTCTGCCTCTCCCAGCCCAAAGATTAGTTCTGATTAGATCTGCCGCGTTCAAACGGGTGGCAGGGGCGTATGGAGAACATGGGCTGCATGCACGGCTGTTGGATGGCATTGTTCGTCTGCTAGTGGATTCAGGGAGCGTCAGTAGTGCTGGGAACAGTGGGGGTTTGGCAAAAGGGAGAATGGACGGTGGGATGAAGCCAGCGGATTTTCTCGATGAGAGATCAACGGTGGCGATGGGAGGAGCGGTGAAGTTTGAAGGGTCCCTTGGGAATGCCACAAGGGATCGTCCCGTGTGCTTCGCCAATGCCCTGTTCACCGGCAATCTCAAGGTGCATTGTTCACTGGCAATCCCAAGGTGCACTGTTCACCAGCAATCCCAAGGTGCACTGTTCACCAGCCATCCCAAGGTGCACTGTACACCGGCAATCCCAAAGTGCACTGTTCACCGGCAATCCCAAGGTGCACTGTACACCGGCAATCCCAAGGTGCACTGTTCACCGGCAATCCCAAAGTGCTCTGTTCACTGGCAATCCCAAGGTGCACTGTACACCGGCAATCCCAAGGTGCACTGTTCACCGGCAATCCCAAGGTGCACTGTACACCGGCAATCCCAAGGTGCACTGTTCACCGGCAATCCCAAGGTGCACTGTACACCGGCAATCCCAAGGTGCACTGTACACCGGCAATCCCAAGGTGCACTTTACACCGGCAATCCCAAGGTGCACTGTACACTGGCAGCCCCAACGTGCACTGTTTTCCGTGATTCCTCTGTGTCAACGCACATCCGCAATCTCGTGTGAAGAGCTTCAAAAGCATCCAGAAGCAGCTGCTCGCACGACGTGTGAGGAAACGCAACAATCATAAGCTTCACTGCTCTTTCCTCTCTTGCTCCTCCCTCTCAACCAGCGCTCACAAACACCGACCTCCTTCCTCCCTCCCTCCCTCCCCTCCCACCCCTCCCCCTTCCCTTCCCTTTTCCCCTCCCCCTCCCCCTCCCCCTGGTTTCTCTCGGCCAGGCATCAGCCTATCCAGGCACTCTACCCCTGCTGCCCGCCCGCCTGCACTCCCACCTTCGCCACACCCTGCCACCACCCATCCTCCTCCCCCCCACCCTCAATTTCACCCCCACGGATCCCTCTTCTTCTTCCTCCTCCACCTCCCCCTCCACCTCCCCCTCCACCTCTCTCCCTCGTCTCCTCTACATCAGTCGCACCGTCGGCACCAACAACAGCGCCAGCAGCCACGCCGCCCGGCGAGCGTTCGACCAATCAAGCGAGTCAGCCTTCCAGGCGCTCCTCGCCTCGCTGCCAGGTGTCGCCGTGCAAGTGGCGGACTTCGCCAGGCTGTCATTCGCGGAGCAGTTTGCGCTGGTACAGGGGGCGGACATTATTGTGGGGTTACACGGCGCTGGTCTCACTCTCGCTTCGGCTTTCAATCACGCACCCTCCACTGCTGCTGCTGCTGCTGCTGCTTCTGCTGCTGCGACTGCAACTGCGGCCCAAAATGACCCCTCCGCCCCGCGCCCCACGATACCAGTGGTGGTGGAGATTCAGCCCTACAAGGTGCAGCACATCATATTCGAGGGCATGGCCACGTCAGCAGGCGCGCTTTACCTGCTGAACCAGTGCCACCGTGGCCCCACCGACCAACCAGGCGACGCCACGTTTGCACACGTCAGCCGGGAGGCCTGCCGGCGGCGGCTCGAGTGCCGGGACCACTTTGTGCAGTCGCGATTCGTGGAGCTGACTCAGCGCGACGTGGCGTCGCTTAAGCGACTGTTAGAGATGGCCCGGGGTTTTGTGACTGAGGGGCTGAGAGCAGCAGAGGCGGTTGCAGGAGGGACAGCAAACACAGGGGAAGGAGTCAACACCACTGCTGCTGGTGCTGGTAGCGATGACAACGCTGTGGGCAGTGAGAGGAGGGCTCTGCACTCGATAGCTCTCCACACCCCTGCTGCAGACACAGCAAGCGCCAGGAAGGGACGGTCGTGGGGGCTCTGGGGTTTCCTGATGGGTGGAAGAGACAGAGGAGAGGAGGCAGCAGCACAGGGCACACAGCAGGGTGCAGAGCAGGGCGAAAGTGCAGGTGAAGTGGCAGATGCAGTGGGTGGAAGTGAGGGGCATGCGCAACGAGCAGGTGGGAAAAGAGCAGGACACACAGCTGATTCGCTGTGGGCTGGCATCAGGCAGGACATGCATGAAGGGGGGGAGGGAGGAGGCAGTGAGGGAGGAGGAAATGAGAGAGGTAGAAGGGAGGAAGGAGGAAGTGAGAGAAGGGGAAATGGGAGAGGGGGAAGGGATCACATGGCAGAGGTACTAGCACAAGTGCCAGAAGCAAAACAAGAAGCACCGATGCCTGCACAATCAGCACAAACACCAGTCGCAGCAGCAGAGGCACTCGCGGCACAAGCAGCACATGCAGCACAGGTAGCGTGGGTGAGGGGGTGGATGGAGAGGGAGTGTGGGGAGTGGATGAGCGAGACGGACAACAACTGTCGTGTGGAGGCCATGAGATCGCCCCATGTGCGCCCGGGGGAAAGGTGTGTGCTTGCTGCTGACGACTGCTGATGACTGTTGATGACTGCTGTCATAAAAATGGCTGCAAACAATTCTGATACCGCTGTGTTGGCTGCTGCTGATGATGATTGTAAGGATTTACAAATCCTTACTGAGGCACTCGTTAGCGAGGCCATCCCGAGGGTCACGCGACGAACCTGTCTTGCCTATTTTGTCGCACCGAACCACCCCCGAGTCGGCCTCCGCTCCAATCGCAACCATCACCGAGCCATCCCATCCCGAACCCCCCGCCTAGCTAGCTTTTCCCCTATTTAGGCCTCGGCATTCTCATTGTATGGACATTCGGTATTCAACCATTCTCGTTATTCGTTATTCTGCGCACTCTCTTTTACAACTCATAACAATGATGCCACTCTGATTGGCTGCTGTGCTGGTGGTGCTGATCTGTGGGAAGAGTTTTTATATTTAAATCAGTAAGCAAGTCGAATGGTTCTGCTTGGCCCGCACCTCTTTCTGTCTGTAAAAAGCTTTCATAGAATATGTAAGTAAGGCATGAAATCTGACCAATAATTCATCCTGTGATAGCTTCTGTTTGTGGCACTAGTACCACCACCCACACACTTACCGGACCAACACCACCAGTAGAAAGCACATGCATTCAAAGGTACAAGGAGGAAAGGAGCTTGTTACCAAATTGACAAAGCTGCCACTGTCTTAACTGTGTCCCATAATCCCCTCCCACCCACCCGCCCTTTCCTCCCCCTCTACCGCCGGTCCGTCTTCCCAATGCCTCTCTTCCCAGCGAACAGATGCTTGGGGCGCACGTTCACAATCGTGCGGTCCGCCTCGCCCTTCCTGCTCTGCACGTTGCGCTTCTTTGCATGCTTCCTCGCCAGCTGAATCGCCCCCACCTTCTGCTCCGTATCCCGGAACCCCTCCCCAGGCACCGCCTCCGCAGCCAACGCCGACGCCGTCCCGCCTATCCTCCCCAAAGACTGCGACCGAGACCGCGACATGTGCCGGATTCTCTTCCTCAGCCTCTCCTCGTTCCCTTCGTCCAACTCCATCCCGCCCTCCTCCCCTTCCTCTCTCCCCGCCCCCCCGTCCCGCTTCCCGTCCCGGCCCCGCGAAACCCCGCGCCTGCCTCTCCCCTCCTCCCCATCCACCTCCATCCCATCTCTAGCCATCGACCTGCTTCTCTTCCTCCCCTTGGCCACCGTTCCACCGCCGCTAACGTCCCCGCCTTCCCCGGTCTTGCCGGCCTTGATACGCGCGAGGGCAGCGGAGGGGTCGAGGCCGATGGAGGAGAGTTCTTGCCGCATGCGCTCGGCTGTGAACTGCCGCCCCGTGTCCGTATGGCGCGGCAGGATTGGCCGCGAGTCCGTCACGCTGCGCTGGCGATGGCGATGGGTGATGAGGCGCTTCTTCTTCAGCCTGGGGGGGAAAGGGGAAAACGGAAGGTTTTTGGGAGAGTAGTAGAGAGTTGATGACGAGGCGTTGGCTGGCAGTGTCCATGGTTGCTCCCATCAAAGCACCCACACACAGGGTGCAGTGCATACACCCAGCCATATACCCCACCACCATCAGAGAGTTCAAGAACCAAGGCCCCAGCCCTCACCAGCCCCCAACCTCCAGCCCCCAGCCCCCAGCCCCCCAACCCCAACCGTTAGCCCACCTGATAGCCGCGAGCGCCTCAGCCTCCTCTGGCGCCAGGTCCTCCTCCTCGTCCTCCATGGCCTCGCCCCACTCGCCCTCCACCCCCACCCCAGCCCCCAAGCTTCAGGCCCCAAGCTTCAGCTTCCAGACCCCAGCTCACCTGATAGCCGCCAATGCTTCGGCCTCCTCTGGCGCCAGGTCCTCCTCTTCGTCCTCCATGGCCTCGCCCCACTCGCCCTCGCCCACCCCCACCTACCCCCACCAGATCCCAGCACCCAGTCCCCAGCCCCACACTTACCTGATAGCCGCCAATGCTTCGGCCTCTTCAGGCGCGAGGTCCTCCTCCTCATCGTCCATCGCCTCGCCCCACTCGGACTCGCCCACCCCCTCCGCCTGCTGCTCCATCTCCCATTCCTCCCTCTCCAGCTCCTCCAACCGCGCCAGGATATCCGCATCCACGAAATCAGCCACGTTCTTCCCGTCCATGATCTCCGGCACCACGTCGTGCCGCCACGTGTCGTCGCCCAACAGGTACGGCCGCGTGTGGTCCGCCACGTAGGCGCCCGCGCCGCCCAGCTCCTCTTGATAATCCTTCTCCAGCTTGCACCCCTCGGAGGGTTTGACGCCCTTGGCCTGCCGGTCGAGAACAGCCTGTGGGATGACTGGCGGGCGCGGCTTGCTGTCGCGCGGGCGAGGCATGGCCACGTGGATTCGGTTCGCCACGTCCTCCACCCTCTTGCTGCGCATCTTGGCCTCTACGCGCATCTGGGAGAGGGAATGGGGATGGAGAGGGGAGGAGGGAAGGAGGCGAGGTTGTGAGGGAGGAGCGAAGGAAGTGGGAGGGAGGAGCGAAGTGAGAGGGAGAGGCCTGCGCCGCCCAGCTCCTCCTGGAAGTGCTTCTCCAGCTTGCGCCCCTCGGAGGGCTTCCGGGGAGGGAGGGGAGGGAGGGGAGGGAGGGGAGCACACAGCACACAGCACCCCATTCTACCCCAACCCACCTGCAGCAGTCGTTCACAGGCAGCGTTCTTCACAGCAGCGACATTGACATCAGTCATGGTGCTCATGGTGAGCAGACAGACACCCCGCGCCATCAAATGCAGCACACACACAGCATGCATGCATGTGCCAACCTACCAGCACCCTATCCAAACGCACCCACCTGCAGCAGTCGCTCTCACGCGGCGTTCTTGACAGCAGCAACGTTAACATCAGTCATGGTGCGGGGTGAGCAGACACCCCGCACGCACCCAACAGCATGCAGCACAGAGCATCCTACTCTGTCGACTCACCTGCAGCAGTCGTTCACATGCGGCATTCTTAACAGCAGCAACATTCACATCAGTCATGGTGCTCATGGTGAGCAGACACCCCGTGCCATCACCGTCACCCATCACCGCCTCCATCGCCCCCTCGCCTCCCTCAGCAGCAAGAGGAGGAGCGATGCCGGGGCCGCCGCACCGGGCGGCTTCAGCCGCCATCTCTTGCAGAACCTTCCTGTCGGCTTCCGAGAGCGTTTCGAGCGGCTGCAGATCCACCTTGTTGCACACCACCATGAGCGGCTTGTTCAGGAAGAGGGGCTGTTTGTGGGGAGGAAGGAGATGAGAGATACGAGATACGCATGAAGAGCAGACAGTGCGTGGGACTGAGGAGCTGCTTCCGAGAGCGGTGGCTGCAAGTCCACCTTGTTGCACACCACCATCAGCGGCTTGTTCAAGAAGAGGGGCTGTTTGTAACGCGGATGGATGGGATGGGGATGGGCGAGAGAGTTTGGAATGAGGAAGAGGGAGAGGAGGAAGGGAGAAAACGGGGAAATTAGGGGCTGGAAATGGAAGAAGCGGGGAAGAGGGAACTTAAACCGGAAAAAGCTACACATGAAGCACAGCACACGGAAAGTGGGACAGGCAAATCTTTAAAAAACCGGCTGAGGTTGAGTTTTGAGGCTGAGGTTGTTAGCTTGTCACCTTGTTTCCTCTGTTTAACGAGTCACCTTCTCAGCGTGCAACTGACCTTAATGGAGTTGAACAGTGGTGCCTGCTGCTCCAGAGTATACCCGCAGCTGCCAGACGCGTCCACCACGAACAGCACAGCAAGGCAGCCCTAGCCATCACCTTGTGACCTGTGCAGTACATGTGACGTGACTCACCTTAATGGAGTTAAAAAGAGCCGCCTGCTGCTCGAGTGTATACCCGCAGCTGCCAGACGCGTCCACCACAAACAGCACGGCTGCCCTCAGGTGCGCCAGAGCCGTGACGGCGAGCATCTCAATGGTGTTGCGCTCCTCCAGTGGGTGGTCCAGGATTCCAGGGGTGTCGATCACCTGGGGGGGTTGGGTGGAAGGGGATGTGGGAGTGAGTTTCAGGTGCGCCAGCACCCCAATGGTGTTGCGCTCCTCCAATGGGTGCGACAATACCAGGGGTGTCTATCACCTGAGGTAGTCAAGGGGACATGGTGGAAGGGAATTTAAGGGATAGTTTCCAGTGCCAGTGCGGTATGGAGCGCGCCTGCCAGCGCGGGCACACTCACCCGTGTAGAACTCCCCCAACCCCGAACCCCCAAACCCTCCTCACCTGCCAGCGAAGGTATTTGTAATCAGTAAGTCCCACGAACAGCGACTTAGTGGTGAAGGCGTAGGGCTGCACCTCCACGTCCGCACGCGTCACCCCACCTTGCTGCTCACCACCCCACACCAACCCACCCAGCCCCACCACACCCCACAGCACCCCTCCGAGCCCTCCCCAGCGCACCTGCCAGCGGAGGTATTTGTAATCGGTGTGGCCAACGAAGAGCGACTTGGTGGTGAAGGCGTACGGCTGCACCTCCACGTCCAGCTCGCGTCACCTTGCTTGCTTATCACAACCGCACCTCAATATACCCCATACCACCCCACCCCACCGCACCCCTCCCCACCGCACCTGCCAGCGCAAATATTTGTAATCCGTGTGGCCCACGAAGAGCGACTTGGTGGTGAAGGCGTACGGCTGCACCTCCACGTCCGCGCGCGTCACCTCACCTTGCTGCTCACCATCCCACACCACCTCACCCCACCCCACCCCACCTCCGAGCGTAGGTACTTGCGTCTGCCTCACGAGAACCGAGTGTCACCTGCCATCAACTCTCACATCCCCCAAACCCTTGGAAACCCCATTTCTGCCCCTCAACGCACCTGCCAGCGCAAATATTTGTAGTCAGTGTGGCCGACAAAGAGCGACTTGGTGGTGAAGGCGTACGGCTGCACCTCCACGTCCGCGCGCGTCACCTTGTTCACGAACGAGCTCTTGCCCACGTTCGGGTACCCGCACACCAGGATGGTGCGCGTGTTGGGATCGATGGACGGGAGGCGGGACATGTGCTGCCGCACCTGGTGTAAGGAGGAAGGGGATGCAAGCGAGGGAAGAGAAAGCAAGTCATGCACAAGGCTTGCTCACGAACGAGCTCTTTCCCCCCCCACGTTCGGATACCCGCACACCAAAATCGTGCGCGTGTTGGGGTGGATGGAGGGGAGGCGCGACATGTGCTGCCGCACCTGGTGTAAGGAGGAAAGAAATCAAGTAAGGGCGTGACAGTGCTGCCATTGGTTCGCACCCATAACTGTTTCCTCAGATAGAACAACGCGAGAGGACTGGTTGAGTCGAGGTGCGAGCTCCTCCATTCATCCATTTTCAAAAGGTATGGTACTCACCAACACATACCAGTCAACGCACCTGCTCGAGTCAACGTAGTCAACGCACCTGCTCGAGTCAACGTAGTCAACGCACCTGCTCGAGTCAACGTAGTCAATGCACCTGCTCGAGTCAACGCAGTCAACGCACCTGCTCGAGTCAACGCAGTCAGCGCACCTGCTCGAGTCAACGCAGTCAACGCACCTGCTCGAGGTACGCGAGCGAGGGGCCCTGCTTGCGCATGAGCGTGCACATGCGACCGAGCGCGGCGCGCTTGAGCTGCTTGCAACGGTACAGCGAGTCGCCATATTTGAGCAGGCGCACGTACTCCTTGGTGATGCGGTCAATGATCCCTCGAGCGACATTCACCTGCGAACACGGAGAGCCGGGAGGGAGGGGAGGGGAAGAGGAGAGACGAGGGTTTATATACTGTGCAACGGTACAGCGAGTCGCCATATTTGAGCAGCCGCACGTACTCCTTGGTGATGCGGTCGATGATGCCTCGAGCAACATTCACCTGCAAACATATTGGGAGGGGGTGGGGGGGCGGGAGGTGAGAGAGAGAGAGAGAGACGAGGGTATATATAGCTACAGCGGTACAGCGAGTCGCCGTATTTGAGCAGCCGCACGTACTCCTTGGTGATGCGGTCGATGATTCCTCGAGCGACATTCACCTGCGAAAACGGGGAGTGGGGGGGAAAGGAGGGCGGAGGAGAGAGAGGCTATTTGCAACGGTACAGCGAGTCGCCATACTTAAGCAGCCGCATGTACTCCTTGGTGATGCGGTCAATGATTCCGCGCGCTACGTTCACCTGGAACGAGACAGACGGAAAAAAAAGGATGTTTGGGGGGGACGAATGGCGGGACAAGAAAACCCGAAAGTACGTTCTAGAATATCATTCAAGGAATACGCAAGAACTGCACAAATGTATCAAGATTCCCGCGTGGGAACTGCGTTCCACACTCTGCGTAAAACCCCCTTCCTCCCAAACCCTCCACCCGAAACCCCGGCGTGGTTTCTCCTTCCTCATTACCCCGTCTCCTCGTCCCTAAATCTCTCTCGTTCCGTTACCTGTCCGAGCGCGAGCTTGTAGTGATCCTTATCAAAGAGGGCACTAAGAAGGACGCCTATTTTTTTTAATTCTCAATAGTGACTCCCATATAACATTCCGTTACCTGTCCGAGCGCGAGCTTGTAGTGATCCTTATCATAGAGCACGTTAAGGAGGTCGCCATAGAACGGATGGATCTCCTCGAGCCGCGGAAAGTCGTCAAGAATCGTCGTGAGCTTGTCGTGGAACGTCTGCTGCGTGAACTTGACTTTGCGCATGTAAAACTGACGGATTCTGTTAACGGCGCTGCCCTTGTGGATCACCGTCGGCGTGCCGCGCTGCGTTTTGGACAGAACGATGTCGACAAAGTCCTTGGCGGTGGGGACCACCGTGATCCGCTTGAAATTGTACTGCACCATCGTGGCGGTCGGATCGGACGGACGAAAGAAAGGCGTTCGAGGCGCCTAAAAAGGCGACGGGCGAGATTGACCGAGAACCTTCAAAGCCCGCTCGAGTTGTAAGAGACGGACGAGCGAGGAGGAAGAAGGAAGCTAACGGATAGGAAAAGAAACTACTGCGGCCTCAACGCTCGCGCTTCGCAACTCGCGAACCGGCTTTGTTACAGCTTGTAAGTAGCCACAAACGAGCCTGAGGGCCTGCGAGCAGAAAAGGAGCAACAAGGAGCTGGCGGAAAAACCTAAATGCTGAGCTCGAAGAAACGGGGTTCTTGCAAGTAGCCACTAACGCGTAAAGCGTGCGTGGTTCGTTATACGACTGTGTTGAATATTGAAACTCAAGGGCTACGAATAATTGATGCTATTGCAGTAACCAACATCTCCAATACGAAGAGCCTACAGGCTCACTCCATGAATATTCAGCTTTCCTGGTGTTAGCAGACCATCAAAGTACACAGTTTCTGCACGATCCAGCAGTCTGGAGTCAGAGAAGCAAAATTGCAAAACTAGACAAAACAAAAAAAAGGCTCCAGCAAATCCAGCACACTAGTAGCCAACCTAACTGGACCGTGCCTGTACAAGCCCACCGACCTTGCTCCTCCCTTTAGACCCACCTAAAGCACAAGCATACGCCACACTCTTTCCCCCACTTGTCACCATCACCACAACACTTCCACCCATCCCTCCCCGCACCTCCTCCTCCTCCGCGCCACCTTTGCCCATCGGCCCTGCATTCACTCTCTCTGACCCCCCAGCCCCATCCGCCCCAGCAAACCCTGCAGAAAATCCCCTCGTCCCACTCTGGAAAAAACTTTCCATGCTGCCCGCATCAAAGCCCGAGAGAATCGACACTACGACCGGTTCAGGCTGTGCGAACGCGCCCTGCTGGCGAAACCCACTCTGTTGCTGCTGACCAGGCACTGCAACCGGGACCGACCGAATCGGACCTCCTTCAGCACTTGCGTTGTGTTCCAAGCTGCTGCTCACATCAACACTCGTCGTGCTGCTGGCGCCGCTGCTGGCGCCGCTGCGCCTCCCTCCTTCACTCACAAACCCATCAGGGTTGCTGCCAGAACTGGCAGTGTCGTGAGTGGGAGGCAGGAGGGGAATGGGCTGGTTGGAGTCGGGCAGAGGAATGGCCTGCTTTGACGCCGGCAGCTCGTTCAAATACCGCCTCCGCAGGAACATGCGGCGAGACAGCACCGGCACGGGCACAGGTGGGAATGACTCTTTGCTTGCCTCCCCACTGACCCTGCTGCTGCTGCTGCTCCTAGTCGTAGCGGTAGTTGTGGCGGGGTGTGACGAGCTCTGAATGTGGCCTCCACTGCCTCTGCTTCTGTCTGTAGCACTGGAGTTGGCACTGCTGCTGCCTGCACAGCCACCTGACAGGTTCCTGCTGCTGCTGCCACTGCTGCTGCCCGCTGGACGTGCAGCAGACGCCTCTGCTTCATCCTGTGCCTCTCCCTGCTGTGCGCCCTGGGTTGGATGGGAGTCGAACCGGAAGAGCTCCGTGCATGTATGCGAGTGGAACAGAGGGCCTGTACCAGAATACACAGCGCACGGGGAAGGAAGCAGGGAGGAGGGAGGGAGGTAGGGGACAGGATGGCACAAGAACGTGACACGTGAAATCGGCACTGGAATCAAGAGGAGCAATAACACAAGGAGCCATCCCGTGCTCACTTTTGCTGCTGCAAACCCCTTCCTACCATGTGCTCCTGCTTGATTTTACCTGAGCTGTGCTGCAGCAGCCACTGCTGCCAGTGCTGCTGATCCCACGGCAACGAACTCTCCACTGCTGCTGCTCCTGGTAACGCTCCCGCCACACGATCACCAGCGCTAACCCCAGCTCTCAGCCCCGCAGACGCACTGCCACCACTTCCTCTACCGCTAACCAGACCACCAGCAGAGCCACCATTCCCACTGCCACTGCCGCTGCCCGAATGACCAGCGCTGCCACCGCTGCCACTTATCCCAGCCCATGCTGACCGGCTTCGGAGCGTGCCTGCAGGTGACCACTGGCGCCACGGCACAATGGCCTTGCCTGCCGCCCCGCCCACTCCACCACCACCACTGCTGCTGCTGCTGCTGCTCACGCTGTTCCTTGCCCTTGGGCTGCTATCCCCCCCAGCAGCAGCGCCACTATGAGCAGCCCGCGAGTCCGCAGCAAAAGCTACGCCTGCTGTGGCTCTGTCTGTTGCATCCCTGCCTTCTCTAACCCTGCCTGCTGCAGCCCTGCCGGCTGTGAGGTTGGGCACCGACACCGCTGCGAAGGCGGGGAAGCGCTGCTGCTGCCTGTCAGCCGCATGCTGCTCCACGCGAGCGCCTGCCACCACTCTGTCACTCCACACCAGGTTTAAAGCAGATGCGTCAAGAGAAGAGGAGTGCAGAGAAGACGCGTGCAGAGCACGACCCTGCTGCTGCTGCGCTACTGAACCGCTCATGCTGCCATTTCCCCTGCCCCTCCACCACACGCCCAGTCCGTCCCCTCCCACTGCATGCCCCCCCCCTTGCCCGCCCTCCTCCTCCTCCCCCAGACCTAGCAGCACCCGTCCTCCGGGCCTCAACACCCCACCCCCTCCCAACCCTCCCCCCCACTCTCCCCCCTGTGCCACCCCTCCCCTCCCCTCGCTCCTCCGAGCGCCACCGCCCCACCAACGCCATCCGTCGCGCCACGCCCCGCCCATCTGCTCCCAGCTACCGGTCCCGCTGCCCTGCCAGCTCATAACGCTGTCCTGCCAGCCTGAATACGCCGGCGCCACGCCACGTGTCAGTTCGCCGTTGGGCGGCAGGAAGGGGCAGAGGATGAGGAGGAAACCGAACATGGCGAGCGCGAGAGCGGGTGCCTTGGCGGCAGATACAGCACGGGGTGGCGAAGAGGGTCTACCAGGGCTGGTATCAGGAGCACTAGGTGCAGCAACCCCAGCACCCGCAGCACCAGCAGCACCAGCAGCACAAGCACCATGAGCCGCACCAGCAGTGTCCGCAGAACCCGCAGTAACCACACACGCATCCCCTTCCTTCTTCTGCTTCTTCGCGCCCCTGTCCTTCTCCCCACCGCCCGCTTTCGCGCCATCCCCCCCAGGCGCGCCTTTCTTCTTGCGCGCGGATTCCGGCCGGCTCACGTTCTTCAGCTTCGGAATCGGGACAGGCGGAGCGGGGGGGAACAAACCGCGTAACCCTAACGCCCCGAGTGGAAACCCTACGCCCCCCACGCTTCCGAAACTAGCCAACCCTCCCAGAATCGGAGGGACAAGACCGGGCGAGATTGCGCTGGGAGGCGCTACAGCCGCTGCTGCCGAACCTCCCCTTCTGCGCCTACCCGGACCTCGTGCCGAGCCTGATGTGGCCATTCCGGAACCTAACGCACCCGCAGACCCTGCAGCAACTCCGGTTCCCGCTGCTGCAGCGGTGGCGGCGGAAGCGGCGGAAGCGGCGGAAGGGGAGGAGTAGAAGAAGGCGAGCTGGCGGCGGAGGCTGACGTTCTCCGCGGTGAGATGCGCGACGGCGGAGTTGAGCTCCGCCACCGCCGCGGACATGGTGCGGATCTGCGCCTCCAGCTCGTCCATGTAGTACTGCCGGGGAAATCGGAAAGGCGGGGGAAGGGGAAACGCGGGGGAACGGGGTGGGGGAAAGGTGGGGAAAGGGAGAAAGGAGGGGGTAAGATTCACAGAGCGCGTTGAGGAAACGACGATCCAGCTGTAAAGGAGCTGATTGAATGCGACGCGAAACTAATTACCTTCTTCCTTTGTCGCGACAATTGCGCACTCTCCCGGTTTCTAATCAGCCTGGCCTCGCGCTTCTCCGTCTCCGGATCCCTCCCCTCCCCCTCCCCCTCTCCCTCTCCCTCTCCGCCCTCCCCGCCCTCATCCCCCTCACTCGGTTCGCTGCACTCATCTTCCGCCGCAACGGCAGCTCCACTCCCGCCACCAGCAACCGAACCCCGCGCCTCTACTCCCCCGCTTTCGCACTCCTTCTGAGCGTTCTCAGCGCCAGAACTTGCGTTTCCAGGGAAAAGGCCGCCGTTTGCAACCGTACACGTGGCAGCATCCTGTGGCGTGAAATTTTGGAAGGAAGCTGGTGTAGTCGTGGGTAGGGGGAGAATCGGATTCGAGCATGGAGTGGGATGGCAACCCACCAATTCACCACCCACCCATGCTGTATTCCCTTGCTGCTGCTGCTGCTGCTTCTGCTGTTGCTGCTGCTGCTGCTGCTGCTGCTGCTTCTGTAACTGCTTCTGCTGCCGCTGCTGCCGGCGCTGCTGCTGCTTCTGCAAGCGATACTGCTGCTGCTGCTGCTGTTGCTGTTGCTGGAAACACGAACTCACAGACCCCGGAAAAAGCACACCCTGTATTGGAACACTTTGCATAGCGAATGGGCCCCCCACGTGCTGCTGTTGCTGACAAAAACCCGTCTCCTGCTTCACCGTACTCTCAGGAAACTGAGACGGCGAAAAAATTCCGGCGTATACACCGCCGTTGCTTAACAGCCCGCCTGTAGTCGACGGAGGGGTAGCGGCACACGACGGAGCTACAGCAGCAGCAGCAGCAGCAGCAGCAGCAGCATACGGATCTGCTGACATGACACTTGACTGATGCCACGGACTCCCAATCTGGCTGCTGCCTTCCTTACAGCCACCGCTTCCAGAATCACCGCTTCTACAATCACCGCTGGCACAGTCGCCGTCGCTGCTGCCGTCAGCGCCATGGCTACCTCCTTGCACCAGATACGGCAGGCCGTGATCGTTGACGGAAGCTAACGGCTCGGGTGACGACCGGCCGCTAGGAGGTGTGTCGACTACTAGCATAGATCCACCGGCCGTGCGAATATCTCCACCTTCATCGCAGAAAAGCGAGTCGGTTGTGTTTAACGGAAACGGTTCGCTGAACGGCCGGTTTCCGAGTTCCACGTCGACTGCTGCTCCTGCTTCGTCCTGCGGTATGGTAGTGTCGTCGCGGAACGGGTCTAGCATATCGCTTGAAAGGTTGGCGAAAGCTGAAATATCGATGTCCGCGAGAGGCACGGCTGATGAATCGAGTAAGAGCGACGCCCACTCGTCGTCCATGAAGGTGTTCTGTTCCTCCATGGCTGGGCTTGACTGAACGCGATCTGGCAAATCCGCCATTGAAACGTAGTCAGCTCTCGGTTCCGACAGTACCGCAGCCATCGCCATCAAGTTGAGCCAAGCATCACCCAAAAACTGCAACTCAACTAGGAAAATGACCTTTGTACTGGTGATTGAGCTCCGAAGGCAAAAAAACAGGGTAGGCAATAACAGGTGGAATCCCAAGGTTATCCAGAGATCCAGAGATGCATACGGATGGTCGTGTTGAGGAGCTTGGTGGTAGCGGCAGAAAGCAGGCACGAGGGCATGGGAGAGGGAGGAGACGGACGGACGGACGACTCACGGAAAGCTGGACGAGATCTTGCCTGGGCTGAAAGCGTTCAGGCTTGGCTTGGAATGATGACCGAACGTGCGACAGGTAGCGGCGCACACGGTTAGGAGTACCAGCTTCTGCTGCATCGTGTGGCCGAGTTTCGTGCAGTTCAATCGGACGAACACCGGTGGGCCACATCCTTTGACCAACCAGCGGTGAGGTGTGGTCGTTCTCGTTCAACAGCTTCGCCTTCTCGCAGCTTCCACGCACAAACCGTCTGTCTTACCCACAAACCGTCTGTCTGTCTTACCCACAAACCGTCTGACGCACAGAACCGACCGAACCACACAGGTGCGGGGTGGAGCAGCCGTCTTCACAGTTCATCATCACGCTCGTCATGCACATCAATTTCGCCTCTCCCAAAGCAACCCTTGCCGAACCAGATCCAAACCAAACACGGCTAGCCTGCTATTTCGTGGTTCGGTTTGTTTGCCTGGAAGGAGGAACTTCTGGAGCCAAACTGTTTTTCCGCCGGCCACTTATTTTGCTGCCAGCCGCACGACGGTGAGGCTCCGCAGGTCAGAAAATTTGGTTAAATGTGGTAAACCGGACTGTAGTTGAGCATTTCGTATAAGGTTGAACGCGTTACTCCATAACGCGCATGCTGATGTCTCTCACTGTGCTGACGCGCATGCTGATGTAGTCGACGTGATACGGATTTCTCGCGGCTGGCGCTGCCAAGAAGTATTTTGCGGTGCTTTCTCACGTGATGCTGACGATTTTCAGAAGTCCAGGCTCAGGATGCTTGGCATGCTTTGACGATGCCGTCACGGCGTCGTTAGTATCGCCCGGCCTGCATCGTTAGGATCACTGCGTTAGGATTGAGAAAAAAACTAACTTGGGAGATTCGCCAGATTCAATGAATTTAATTTTGTAGGAACACTGACAGCGGCAACGTGGAAAATTCCGGCAATTTGTGACTATATCGCAGGGGATTAAATGGGGTCCTCACAACCGTCCGTGGTTGCTCCTCCTTCACCTTCTGAAAACCCTTCTCTATCGCCGTATGTCGCTGCCTTAGCCCTCTCGTCCCCCGTCCTGTCCGTCAACGATGAAGACACTAGTAGCGAGGATGGATCTACCCTCCTTTCCCCCCCTCTTGCTTCCCCCGCTGCGCCGATCTTCCGCTGCCGCTTCCGCACGCCGCTGTTCGGCTGCGTGGCGCTGGACGCGGTGCAGCGGGAGGTGCGCGGACGGCGCGAGCTTGCGGAACGGGGAGCGCTGCAGGCGCAGGGGGAGGGGGGGCGGAAACAGCAGGCGGGGAAGCAAACTGCAGCGCATGACAGGCGGAAACCGGCGCAGGAAGGTGGAAAGAAGGAGATGAACGAGCGGCGGCAAAGAGCGGAAGCAGCAGCGGAGGGGGAGGACGCACCGCGCATCAGCCACGATCTCGCCATGTTCGTCGGAGGGCCCATCTGGGCCGTTGATTGGTGCCCTCTCCCTCGTTACAGTCACACCCAGTACCTCGCCGTCGCCTGTCACCCGCATCTGCGCCCATTCTCCCCCCTCGGCGTCCCCCTGCGCGGACCTGCGCTGGTGCAGGTGTGGGCGGTCAGACTGGCGGAGGGGGACGGGGAAGCGGAGCGGGAGGGCGAGGGGGAGGGGGAGGGGGAAGGGGAGGGCGCAGAGGGGAATGTGCCCTGGTGGATGCTGGCGAGCGGAAGGGGCAGGGGGAAAGCGGGGCGGAGGGGGAGAGGGGCGGGGAGAGGAAAGGGAAGAGGAGGAGAAAGCGAGAGAGGGAGAGGGAGGGGGAGGGGAAGGGGGAGAGGGAGGGGGAAGGGGAGGGGGAAGGTTGGGGATGCTGTGAGTGGAGAAGAAGGAGGTGTTGGAGTGAGGAGGCAGGAAAATGCTGGGGGGGGCAGTGTGGGAGTGAAAAGGAAAGCTGGGGATGTGGGGCTCGGTTCGCGAGGGTGGGAAGGGGTGGAATGGGATGGGCGAGAGAGGGAGGTGGAGGTGAGATGGGAGAGAGGGATGGGTGGGGATACAGGGAGAGGGAGAGTAGGCGGAGGAGGAAGAGGAGGAGGAGGAAGGGGAGAGGGAAGAGGGGAAGGCAGGGGAGGGAGAGAAGAGGGGGTAGATGGGAGGAGCGAGAGGAGGGGAGGGCCGCAAGCGCAGATGGTGCTGGGGATTGCGCACCAAGGCGGACTCACTCGCTGTGCCAGGTGGCGGCCGCTGGTTGGCGGGCGAAACGGCAGGGCCGGCCAAGGAGGAGAGGGCGGTGGTCTAGGGTTGCTGGCTGCGGCACTGGGAGATGGCACCGTTGCAATGTGAGTTGCTGAGAGTGGAAGTTGTTTCTCAAACCAGATGGCAGCGTGGCTATATGAGCTGTGAGAACGAGGGACGTTTTACAACTATATTTTAACGTTGCCGTGTGGGTTGGTTTTGGAGGCGCCCTCAAGAACCCGACCCTAAACCCCTAAACTCTGAACCCTCAAAACGAAATGGCACCTCTGCCATCCCTCTCCATCCTTGTTTCGACTCTCTTTCCATCCCCCTTCCTCTCTTTCCATCCCCCTTCCTCTCTTTCCACCCCCCTTCCTCTCTTTCCACCCCCCTTCCTCTCTTTCCATCCCCCTTCCTCTCTTTCCATCCCCCTTCCTCTCTTTCCATCGCCCTTCCTCTTGCTCGGCACTCATGCGTGTACACAGTAAGCCACTTTCCTTGCTCCTCTCGCTGCCCCTCTCCTGCTTCCTTTATCCCCGCCGGCAGCTATCACGTGCCACTACCACAGCAACACAGCACCCGGTGGCAAGGCATTGGACAGCAGCACCAAAAGCAGCCCGGGCAGCAGCAGAAGCAACAGCACAGTCACATGGGTCACCAGTCGGCATCCCTGCTCCAGCCTGCGCCACACGGCCCTCTGCTCGCCCTGCAGCCCGTCTTCCAGTGGAAGTCCAACCCAGCCCATGGCCCCACCAGGTGACTCTTGCGGCGTCTCAACACTCGTTTCTTACTGCCAGTCCAATCCAGCCCATGGCCCCACCAGGTGATTTGAGAAACGTGTCAAAAGTCGTCTTTTAGTACCTTTCCAACCAATCCCGAACATGGACCAACTATTTAAGGAACTGGCATAAGGATCTATGACTGTAAAGGTTACTTTGAAATGCCTCAAAAACCTCATTTTGTGGTAGTTTAAACAGTGCATCGCCCAATCAGGTGCTTTCCTGCCACCCGCATTTATGTCTTCGAACACATGGCATTAAACGCTCTCTCCCCATGCGCTACCCATCCTCTCCCTCATGTCCCAGGCTCCCCTGTGAGCTCGCATGGAAGGTGGATTCAGCCCCCTCATCACCAGCCACACCTCGTTCCCCACATCGCGCCACCGACCTGCTTGCTGCCGGCTTCCAGGATGGTTCCGTCCGTAATGACCCTTCCCGCCTGTAAAGCTTGCTGGTTGACCAGCATGAGTGGCTTGGTGTGCTGCTGTGGTGATGCTTCTCATGGCAACTACTGGCAAGGCAATAACCATTGAAATTATCTCTTCCTCTAGTGTTCCCCCACCACCCCACAAACATTCATAATTCCCTGCACGTAAATTGTGAGACACCTCAAAACTCGTTCATTTCCCATGTTATGAAGGCGTAGTTTTTGGGCTTTAAGCGTAGGTCTGTTTTCCAGTCGCCTCCTCAATTTCGTTTCCTTCTCAAACGCTGTTGTTAGTTTTGGTGCGAGGAATGGAGCTCTTGTGTGCGTGGCTGCTGCAGTGCAGAACCCCTCCGGAATGGTCCTTCGTAATAATAATCAACGTGCAGAACCCCTCCGTCTCCTCTCCTCATCTCCCTTCCTCCTCAGCTTCATCACCTCATAGCCAATCCACCAGCATCACCACCAACCAACAAACAGTTGGCATTTGAGAATTCTCGAGAACCAACTTGTCTCACCGCCCCTCTCCTCTCCTCGCCTCGCCCTGTCTCCCTCCCCGTATCCCTCCCCACTCTTCAGGTGCTTGTGTGGCGACTGCAGCTTGATCACCTTCTAGCCAATCCGCCAGCACCACCATCCGCGCCAACAGCAGCAGCACAAGCACCATCAGGAGCAGCAGCAGCAGCAGCACCACCATCAGCGCCAACAGCAGCACAAGCACCATCAGCATCCAAGACACGGCCACCACTGGCACCCGCTGCCCCAAGGCTGTTCTCACACAACCCCATCCTGTCCTTCCGAGCGGATTCGGCTCTCATCCGCTCCCTCGCCTGGCTGCCCTCACCCATTCATCCTAAATCAAACACGCCTTCAATCGCTCCTGCTGCAAGGACAGGGAGAAAGGGGAGGAGGGACGGGCAGGAGGCAAGGAACGGTAAGCATTGGGGGAAGGGGAAGGAGGAGGAGGAAGTGGATAAGGAGGAGGATGAGGAGGGGGAGAAGGGAGAGGAGGAAAAGGATGAGGACGGGATAGAGGAGGAGGGGTTGGGTTCTGGAGAGGAGGAGAAGGAGGAAAGGGGGGAGGGGGCGGTGGATGAAGGGGAGGAGAGCACGGTGCTGATTGTGGGCAGCCAGTCTGGCATCCTGAAGTTCTGGGACCTCAGGTGAGGTGCGGTGCTGTGCGGTGCAGTGAGGTGGGGTGAGGTGAAATCTATTGTTGGTGGCGGGATGTGGGTGGTGGGGGGGCAATGGTACAAAATATGATGTTTCATCACGTTGCAACACTGTCATTCTTAAGCACCATTGCACAGTCAGGATACAACCATGTCATTCTTAAGCTCCAAAAATCCCTCAAATTTTTATCTGAAATATGATTGTACTGCTCGAGTGTAGATTTTCTACTTGTTTGGACGTTTATCTGGTGCTTCTGTTCGTTAGGGAGCATGTCTGCTCATCTTTAGATTGCATGCAAGAATGTCACTCCATATGCGTGCTGTGCTCCCCTCTCAACCCTCCCCGCCCCCCCTGCTTCCCTCCCCCCACCCTACCTGTCCAACCCCTACTGTCTCACTGTCTGTCATGCTGTCATGTGCCATCCATGCTGCCATGGCAGGGACGTGTTTCAGCCTGCGTACGAGACCCCCACCATTTCCAGGCACGGAGTGCTGCAATTGCACTTCTGCACCCCGCTACGGTGAACCCCATTCCCATGGCATGTCATTTCTGCACCCCATGGCATGTCATTTCTGCACCCCATGGCTTGTCATTTCTGCACCCCATGGCATGTCATTTCTGCACCCCATGGCATGTCATTTCTGCACCCCATGGCATGTCATTTCTGCACCCCATGGCATGTCATTTCTGCACCCCATGGCATGTCATTTCTGCACCCCATGGCTTGTCATTTCTGCACCCCATGGCTTGTCATTTCTGCACCCCATGGCATGTCATTTCTGCACCCCATGGCTTGTCATTTCTGCACCCCATGGCATGTCATTTCTGCACCCCATGGCATGTCATTTCTGCACCCCATGGCTTGTCATTTCTGCACCCCATGGCATGTCATTTCTGCACCCCATGGCTTGTCATTTCTGCACCCCATGGCATGTCATTTCTGCACCCCATGGCTTGTCATTTCTGCACCCCATGGCATGTCATTTCTGCACCCCATGGCTTGTCATTTCTGCACCCCATGGCTTGTCATTTCTGCACCCCATGGCATGTCATTTCTGCACCCCATGGCATGTCATTTCTGCACCCCATGGCTTGTCATTTCTGCACCCCATGGCATGTCATTTCTGCACCCCATGGCTTGTCATTTCTGCACCCCATGGCATGTCATTTCTGCACCCCATGGCTTGTCATTTCTGCACCCCATGGCTTGTCATTTCTGCACCCCATGGCATGTCATTTCTGCACCCCATGGCATGTCATTTCTGCACCCCATGGCTTGTCATTTCTGCACCCCATGGCATGTCATTTCTGCACCCCATGGCTTGTCATTTCTGCACCCCATGGCATGTCATTTCTGCACCCCATGGCATGTCATTTCTGCACCCCATGGCTTGTCATTTCTGCACCCCATGGCATGTCATTTCTGCACCCCATGGCATGTCATTTCTGCACCCCATGGCTTGTCATTTCTGCACCCCATGGCATGTCATTTCTGCACCCCATGGCTTGTCATTTCTGCACCCCATGGCATGTCATTTCTGCACCCCATGGCTTGTCATTTCTGCACCCCATGGCATGTCATTTCTGCACCCCATGGCTTGTCATTTCTGCACCCCATGGCTTGTCATTTCTGCACCCCATGGCATGTCATTTCTGCACCCCATGGCTTGTCATTTCTGCACCCCATGGCATGTCATTTCTGCACCCCATGGCATGTCATTTCTGCACCCCATGGCTTGTCATTTCTGCACCCCATGGCATGTCATTTCTGCACCCCATGGCATGTCATTTCTGCACCCCATGGCATGTCATTTCTGCACCCCATGGCATGTCATTTCTGCACCCCATGGATCTGTAATTACCACCTATCTTATTGCCTATTGCACGGAAATCAGCTACACCCCTTGCACGGAAATCAGCTACACCCCTTGCACGGAAATCAGCTACACCCCTTGCACGGAAATCAGCTAGCAATGCTGACAAAGCCCCACTTCGCTGCACTGGTTGACACGGTTATGAGCTCTGACATTCCAGCAGTGATTCACATGCGAATGCTGACAAAAGTCCACTCTTCTGCATTGATTCACACGCACACGCACACGCACATGCACATGCACATTCACACGCACGTGGCAAGCAATCACTTTTATGACCGTACCCCGTATCCGTCCTTATGTCGTCTCATCTCCTCTTTCTCCCATTGCGGCATGGAAGGTGTTTGGCGATGGCCAGGCCATGGGGGATGGGTCATTGCGAGTCCTGCCATGCGCTCCTCCTAACTCTCACGCCTCAGAACTCGTCTCACCTCTCAGCTTTCCCTGCTCTTCTCTTTCTCCCATTGCTGCATGGCAGGTGCCTCGTGATGGCCATGCCATGGAGGATGGGTCACTGCGAGTCCTGCCATGCGCTCCTGGCTCCCCCACTGTGCTCTTGGCTCCTCTCAATACTACCTGCTGCCGTCCATGCCCCTCCAACACCTCATCTTGCAGCGCCCTGGTGATGGCCATGGGGGATGGGTCATTGCGAGTCCTCGCGATGCGCTCTTCCTAACTCGCACGCCTCAGAGCTCGTCTCACCTCTCAGCTTTTCCTGTTCTTCTCGTTCTCCCATGGCATGGCAGGTGCCTCGTGATGGCCATGCCATGTAGAATGGGTCACTGCGAGTCCTCCTCGCCATGCGCTCTTCCTCCCTCCCCCACTGTGCTCTTGGCTCCTCTCAATACTACCTGCTGCCGTCCATGCCCCTCCAACACCTCATCTTGCAGGGCTCTGGTGATGGCCATGGGGGATGGGTCATTGCGAGTCCGCGCCATGCGCTCCTCGCTCTCGCAGCTCCTTGCAAGCACCTCAGGATCGTCTCACCTCCCAGCTCCTCCTTCTCTTCTCGTTCTTCCATGGCATGGCATGGCAGCGCCCTGGTGATGGCAATGGAGGATGGGTCGCTGCGAGACCTCGCCATTCGCTCCCCCTCACTCACAGCTTTTTGTAGGCACCGCATAAGTCGTCTCACCTCTCATATGTCTGGGCTCTTCTCTTTCTCCCATTGCGCCATGGCATGGCAGCGCCCTGGTGAAGGCAATGGAGGATGGGTCACTGCGAGTGCTCGCCATGCGCTCCTCGCTCTCCCACCACCCAGCGCTGCCGTTCCCCCTCAACCAGCAGCAGCAGCAGCAGCAGCAGCAGCAGCAGTAGCAGGGCAGGCAGGAGCACAAGGAGGAGAAGAATCGGTACAACCGGCGGTGGGTGGTGTCGACGCTCTCCCTCAGCACTGCTGCAGTGTGGGGCGCCGCTGCCTCTGATGCCACAGGTACTGCTGCTGCTGCACGCCTCTATACTAGACTTGTGAGGCGCCTTACAACCGGCGGTGGGTCGTGTCGACGCTCTCCCTCAGCACAGCTGCAGTGTGGGGCGCCGCTGCCTCTGGCGCCACAGGTACTGCTGCCGCTGCACGCCACAGGTACTGCTTTTGAGGCGCCTCAAAACTAGGCGCCTTACAACCGGCGGTGGGTCGTGTCGCCTTACAGGTACTGCTGCTGCTGCTGCCTCTGACGCCACAGGTACTGCTGCCGCTGATTCTTGAGTCAGCTCCAAACGATTTTTTAGTCGGCTAAAAAAAATGCTTCTACACCACAGGTACTGCTGCTGCTGCCTCTGATGCCACAGGTACTGCTGCTGCTGCTGCCTCTGATGACACAGGTACTCCTGCTGCTGCTGCCTCTGGCGCCGCAGACTGCTGCTGCTGCCATTAGCCGTCCAACATTCCTCTTCCTGCCGTCCGCCTCCCAAGTTGCAAATATTATCGCCTCCAGAATTTCGTATAATTCTTCCACGCGTACTTGTTGTTGCCTTTGCCGCCCAGGGGTACCTTCACATGTAAATATACCTTTTCGTGATCCCTCCCTCCCTGATTCTCACCCTGTCGCCCGGGGGTGCCTGTCCATGTGACTCCAGGATGCGCTGCATTCGGCGGGGCAGACGGATCAGTGCGATGCGTTCAGGTGTGTGCCGTGACGTGACTACTATCTGCTGCTGTCCCGGTTTTTGAGAATTCTCTAAAACCAGCTCTCACCCTGTCGCGCGGGGGTGCCTTTACATGTGAATCCAGGATGCGCTGCATTCGGCGGGGCAGACGGATCAGTGCGATGCGTTCAGGTGTGTGACGTGACGTGACTACCTGCTGCTGCTGCTCTGCCGGTTCTATTTTCCGAGCGCACTTGTGGTTTCTCTGCGAGCTTTGCCAGTGTGGGCGCAGCGCAGCATAGGGCTGCCTGCTGGGTGTGGGCAGGGAGCTGTGCTGTCTTGTCTGCAGGGAGGTGTGGTGTCGGCAGGGAGCTGTGTTGTCTGCACTGCAGGCACCCAGCAACCACACCTCCTTGTCCACCTCTCCATGCACCATGGTTGCTGGGCATACAGCTGTGGTTGCTGTGTGTCTCCAGGCATCATGTGTTGCTCTGATCAATTCAAACCTCTGTGTCCACCTCTCCCATACACCACGCCTCCTTGTCCCTCCTTTCTTTCTCTCTCTACATGCCTCGTATGGGTACTTCTCTCTCCGCCATCTCGTCTCCGTTCCCATCTGTTGCCGCCCCCTTCTCTTAGCCCTCGCCCTATCTTTCTTGCCCTCCCTGATTCGTCCACCTTCCCGCCTTCCCCCCATGTGTCCTTCCCCACCTCTACTCGTCCTCTATTTATCTCGCCTCCATTCTTCCCTCCTCCATTCCCCACTCACTGATATCCTCCCTCGACTGTCACCCTTCTTTCCTCTCCACAGCTGAGCAACAGCGTCCTCGTTAACCAGGTGACTTTTGAGTCGACTCAAAAGCAGCAACGTACTCGTTAACCACCACAGCCACAGCCGAAGCAAGCAAGCCGGTTTTTTAGGCGCCTCAATTTCTGTGCTTTCTCCCTCTGTTCTTCTCGGCAGCTGAGCAACAACTTCCTCATCAACCGCCGCAGCCGCAGTGTAGGCGCCTTATAGATACCCCCTCTCTACTTTCTCTACTTTCTCTACTTTCCCCTCTACTCTCGGCAGCTCAGCAACAACTTCCTCATCAACCGCCACAGCCGCAGCAAGCAAGCCGTGATTACAGTGGGGGGGTTCAACCAGATCCTGTCACCGCCCACACAATCTAGTGCGGAAGCTGCCACTGCTGACACGTCAGCAGATGAGTCTTCCGAGCATCGGTTTGTCTTTTTCCGAGGCGATCGAGGTGAAGAGACAGATGGGGAGGCAGGACAGAAAGGGAAAGGGAAACTGAAGAAGGGACAGAGGGATGGAGGGGAGGAGGTGGAGGTGGAGGAAGAGGGTGAGTCTGCCCACAGGGCAGATTGTGGTGGGGGAGTGGTGTGTGGCAATGCATTGGGGTGCAAAGCGGTTGCAATGCACAGAGTGGCGTGGAATGCTAATCGAGGGTTTCAGCAGTGGCTGGCAAGTGGGGGTGCTAATGGGGTGCTCCGGTGTCAGCTGTTTCGCCTGCCGTCGGATTCTTAACGGTGTTTATAACGTCTGTGCCCTTATTGACATTTTATCCATCAGAATTTGCTGTAAAGCAAAGCATACGGTTCTGAGAGATGATTGCTTGCTTCCAGCTTTGTTATTTCTTTGGTTTCCCGTTGCATTGTGTTGTACAGATTTGCAAATCCCGTTATAGCCCATGTTCATGCGTTTTCCATTCCATGTTATCACAGCGTGGAAGACGTTCTCCTGGTATTTTATATGCCAAACGGCGGTAGTCCATAAAGACGTGAATTAAGCATTGCCTATCAGCATATGGTACCATGATTCCTTTTAGGTAATATGTTTTTTTCTTGCTTTTGTTTTTTAATAGCACCTCTCTCATAAACAAAGGTGTGCGGCATAATCCATTGAAACGAAAACGTTGCACTGTCGCTGCTCTGGTCATTGGCTGGTCACCAGTTTGCTTGAACCAGACCAGGCGGTCGCAGCACTGTCGCGAACGTGTCACCTGGTTCAAATGGAACCCGAGCCGTTACAGTACACGAGGAAATCCTTTCAGTTCTTCCTTTTGTCGCCCCATGTTTCCTTCCACCGATTTTTGTCGTGGGCAGTGTGGTTCGGTGAGTGGCATGGCATGGAGGAATCTTTTCCCGCCGGTGTTCCACTCTTAGCAGTGCCCCTTGGTTTTCCGCTACGCGGCATTTTACGTACCATCCCGCCCGATCTCCTGCTTTTGGGGTGAAAGGGTAGAAGCGGTAGTTGGGATGATCCGCTCTCCGTTCGCCTGCCCGTCACCTTCCGCTCCCCCAGCTCCCTCGTGGAGCGGGTCGCTTCGCCTCGCCTCGCCTTGGGTTGGGTTCACTTCTTGCTGTCTGGCTGCCAACAGCATTCAATGTGGGCTGACTGACGCATCATCGCTCCTTCCTTCTGCCCCTCCATTCCTACATCCACGCATCTGTTGACCTATCGGCATTCCCAGTGCTGCTGCTGCCAGCTCGTTTCGCAGTGGGTGGTAAAAGTCGAGGATCAGGTTTGATCGCCCTCGGGACCTCCCTTGCCACGAGGTTGGACGCGTCTCAGTAGGATGCAGAGGAATATAACATCGATTCAGTGCGGTGGCAAGTAAATATTCCACCGTCGGTCCTCGAGATTGGCAACTTCACCTTAGGTTTTGCCATGATCCGTTCGTCTAGTTTCTCAGATGCCTCTTACCTCAAAGTCTTCCTGTCTGCTATGTACAGTAATGACAGCACGGCCTATCATTTCTGTTTTGATAACAGCATACCGTACCGATCCCTTTCGGTCCTAACCTCCTAGACGACCCCTGAATGCATGTCCTGTTATTATTGTGGTGTTATCAGTCAGTTCCCAGGACATGCCAAGCGAGATCCCAACCATTAGGCAGTCGCATAGTCGCGAGAGTGGCGTAAGTGACGAAATAGGCGACAGCCATTGGGACAATGGGATTCATTCGCCGGTGAGAGTCACAATGACAAGAAAAGAGCGAGCTCTGCAGATGTGCGGCGTACTTAGCGCGAACCGTTTCTGTAGAATGGGATTCCCAGAACGAGACGCAGATCCGGGGGAAGATGACGAGGAAGCGCCAAAGGTGGCGAGTTCAGGCGCGTCGAGCAAAGCTAAGAAGGTCGTGACGAAGAATAAAGCGAAAGCGGAGGGACCGGAAAAGGAAGCGGGGGAGGAAGCTGGGGAAGGAGCGGAGGAGGATGACGCGCTCCTGACGAAGAAGCCGTCGAAACGGCAGCAGTTGATGCAGCACTTACAATCCCCCGTTTTTATCACCCGGCTCGTTATGATGGTACGTTATCGCACTGCTAACAGCAGTGACGGTACGTGATCGTACGGCCAGCGAGGGCTAGTCGCCCCACGCCAGCTCGCAGCTTGCTTATTGTTCAGATTGATTGATACTGGAAACAGGGTGCCGGTGCTTATCAGTAAACGTCTCGAAGGTCCGCACAGCAAGAGCTTACTTTGGGGTTTGACCTTCATATCCGTTTCAACGATCGGACGAACTGGAAACTTGCGAGCACGGAGCTACATCGTACTGCGCGTAACGACTTCGCGAAGTGGTTCGAGGGACTCGAGCAGGATTCGAGTATTTTTCGTATGTCTGGTTAGCTCAGAACTCAAGTAGCTGCGCGCAAGTCCAGGAAATGAGTCTAGCACTCTATCGTCTTCCCCTCGATTATTGGTTACAAATCTGATCGATTATCGTCTTCCCCACTGCTGCACTATTTGTTCTCGTAGAAGAACACTTAGTCCGAACCCTAACGGATCCGTTTGCCTTAGCTTCTTGTTGCTTTAGCCTCTAGAACGTTGTCGTTTTCGCTGGTCCCGTCGGGTCTAGATTTGTGTCACCACTCCCGGTTTCCTGTCGCCAATTATGGTGTGCGTCCGTTCTGGAGGTTAATTTCGCTTATCTAATTGGGGTTCGTCCGTTGGGTCTGGCAGGCGTTTCTGGTGATAGTGGTGGTGGTGCTCACAGTCGGCACGTGGTTCGCCGCCAGAACTGTTTACAGCCAATCGCTCGACGCCGTCGCCCTTCAGTACGTTCGCCCGCTCTAGCTCCCCTCCCTCGTCCTTCCCGCTCCCCGCCTTCCCCGCTCTCTATTCCCTCCCGCCGCTCAGCCGCTCCCCCGCAACGCAGTCTCCTCATGCCACAATCTACGCAATTGACCATCTCCGGATAACACTCGGTTTTCCGACTTACTGTGTGAGTCGCGCGTCACCCCCAGGGCCGTCCTTTCGTTCCTAAATCGTCTCAGCCGCCTGTGAAGCCTGACGTCGTTCCACTAGTACCACATCCATCGTCCTTGTGGCGCCTGAGCTGGTTGTAAAGACCAATAAAGGGCCACTTTGCTCAAATCGCGTGCCTCGTCCCCCCATCCTCCCTCCCTGTCTGAAAAGTTTCTGCAACCCAAATCTCTCGTTCCCGCCCTACTCATTCCGTCATTTTAGGGGAAACCCAAGCACTAGCTTCCTCGTCTTGTCACGCGTGGAATTCCGCCGCCTCCCACCTCCCACGCTCTCCTCCGCAGGCTTCACGAAAATAACCTAGTCGGATTTCAGCAGCCGTTCCTCTCTGCTGTACATGAACCGGGGCCGGGCGTGCTCTTGTTCCTCCCTTTCCCTTGATATAGGATATGCCTATAATTCATGCATGTTTCCTTTGCCACCCGCCATCCCTCGGCAGGCTGCGCGAGAAGACCCTAGTGGGCGTGCAGGAGCAGTTCCTGCTGTACATAAACCGCGATCGCGACGTGCTCGCGTCGCTCTCCTCCGTGCTCGAAAACACCTTCCAACAGCTAGGCGTGTGGAACCTAACCCTTAACGATAACCTCCGACTGGTGCGTGGGTGAAGGGTCGCAAGTGATGGTAGGCGGTGGTAGGCGGTGATAGGCGGTGGTGGACGGTGGTAGACTGTTTCAGGCGCATCCACGGAAACGTTCACATCGCATGCGCTTCCAGTCATGCAATCACGTGTGCTAGCACGGTTACAAGCATATGCCATTACGGTAGATCCAGATGCCATCACTGTACATCCATATCCTATCAGGGGTACATGCATATGCCATCAAGGGTTGCATATGCCATCAAGGGTTGCATATGCCATCACAGGCACATGCATATAACATCACTGCTACATGCATATGCCATCACGGGTGCACGCATACCCCACTACGGCTATATGCATGTGCATCACGGGTACATGCATGTGCCATCCCATGCCATCATCACAAGCATATGCATACGCCATCTCTCCGGTGTTACTAACTCTTCCTGACTAAATCGTTCCCTATCATCAAAGTTCAAACCACGCGTCCACACTGGGACACGTCAGCACCCTACAGATCCCGAACACAACCCAACACACATTCTCCTATCCGCCGTTCCTCCTCCTCCCCACCATTCCTCCCTTCCCTTCCCCTCCACCTTCCAGGTCCGTCCGCTACTCTGGTCTTTCTTCAAGAGCTCGCTCCCACACATCACCACTCTCGGCTACTACAGCATGACAGGCCCGTTTGTAACATACGCACAGTACGATTCTGCAAAACAGTCCTTCGCCTCCCAGGACGGATCTCTCTCCATGGTCTATTCCAAAAACGTTCTCCCCACCTCCACCGCCCCCTGGTTCATCCTGCCCATAAACTCCTCCTCCGGGCTGCCCGCAAACAATACCCCGACGCCGTTCAAGCCGCTGCGGCTGGGGTCAACGGAGCTGTACCAGCAGATCGAGCGGGGGGAGGAGAATCTCCTGTGGACGTTCAACGCGATTCAGGACCTGTCGGGCCCGATGCTTGTCGCCACCGCAGCTGTGCAGGTTCCAGAGAGGCGCGCCCCTGTGGGCGTGCTCATTCTAGGCACGTCCGTGGGTGTTGTGAACCGGTTTCTCGGGCAGGACACGATAGAGGGGTGCGTTATGTATATCGGAAGCTCTGAAGGGTTCCTGGTGGCGTCGTCGACTGGGGTGGCCACGTCCACCCCGACTGAAGACGGGCGGCTGCAGCAGTTTGTGAATGCGACGGACGTGGGGGATGCCACGATTGCAGGAGTGGCAAGGTATCTGGAGGGGGAGTTTGGGCTGCCGGCGCTGGTGGCGGGGAATCATAGTCTGAGCAATGTGGACTTGGTGGGGCGCGCGTGGTATGTCAGCAGCATGGGCTTCGCCGTTGATAACCTGAGGCTGGTGAGTTGATAAGCGACGCGAGGGAGTTGATAAGATGAGGCTGGTGAGTTGATAAGCGGAGGCAGGGGAGTTGTTAAGCTGAGGCTAGTGAGCTGATAAGGTGGGGCTGGTATGGAGGGAAGATGGGAAAGGCTGCAGAGTGAGAGACGGACATTTTCGGTGTGCCGTGTGGTTGGTTGGTGGTGACGTTAGAGTTGGGGTTGCAGCTTGGCAGCACATGGGCCCTGCCAGGTTGGCAGATGGGCCCTGCCAGGTTGGCACATGGGCCCTGCCAGGCTGGCAGATGGGCTGTGCCAGGCTGGCTGGTATGTGCTGCCCTTGACCATCTCCATTGCAGCCCCCGAGCCGTCCCCCAATGCCCGGTGGTGAGAACCCTCTGACCCTCACACACCACCACGCTGATGGGTGGGGTGGGGAACTGTAGACCACGAGATGAATGGAAACGGTGCCTTTGTGTGTCCCTTCCCCACTCCCGCTGAACCCGCTCCACCTCCCTCCACCGCTCTCCACCACTCTGCCCAATCCTAACCCACCAGTACCTGGCGATCATCCTCCCACGCGCGTCCGCAATGGGGGTGATGGATCAGGAGATGGAGATGATAATCAGCTTCACCTCTTGCATGTCCCCAACTGCTCCAAACCTCTTTCCACCTCCCTCCACCCTTCTCCACCATTCTACGCACCCCACCAGCACCTGGTGACCATTCTCCCGCGCACGTCCATAGTAGGAAGGGTGGATCAGGAGATGGAAACAATTATTATTGTGACATATATATGTGTTCCGTCGCCCTCGAACCCATTCCACCTACCTTCACCCCTCCCCACCGCGCCGCTCAACCCACCACCAGTACCTGGTGATCATCCTCCCACGAACGTCCATCATGGGATGGATTCGATGATCATAGTCACATCGTATGTGTTCCATCTCTCCCAAACCCGCTCCACCTCCCTACACCGCTCTCCACCCCTCTCCACCCCTCTTCACCAGTACCTGGTGATCATCCTCCCGCGCACGTCCATCATGGGAACGGTGGATCAGAAGATGGAGACGATGAACATCGTGACATCGTGTGTGTTCCATCTCTTCCAAACCTGCTCCACTTCCCTACACCGCTCTCCACCCCTCTCTCCAACCCACCAGTACCTGGTGATCATTCTCCCGCGCACGTCCATCATGGGACCGGTGGATCAGAAGATGGAGACAATGATCATCGTGACATCGTGTGTGGCGGTGGGGCTGCTGCTGCTGGGGTGGGTGGTGGTGATCTTCCTCACGCTCTACGTGGACACGCGCATGCGCCCCAAGGAGGAGCTGCAGCGCCAGAAGGAGGAGACACAGCGGGCGCAGGCGGCCTCGGAAGTGAAGAGTCAATTCCTGGCGAACATCTCCCATGATCTCAGGACGCCTATGGCCGGGTGAGTGAGGTCAAGGGGCTGGGCTGGGCAACACACACTCTTCCTCACGCTCTACGTGGACACGCGCATGCGCCCCAAGGAGGAGCTGCAGCGCCAGAAGGAGGAGACACAGCGGGCCCAGGCGGCTTCTGAGGTCAAGAGCCAGTTTCTTGCCAACATCTCCCACGACCTCCGGACGCCCATGGCCGGGTGAGTGAGGGGTTGGTTGGGCCTCTCTCTCCTCTCGCTGCTCAACAACCTGCTGGACCTCGCCAAGGTGGATGCGGGGCGCATGCAGCACACGTACCTGCTGCTCTCTGCTCACCCGTGTGCTCACCTCCCTTGCACTCCCCCCTGCCTGCCTCCGTCCATCGCAACCCCCCCCCCCCCCCCCCCAACTGCCCTTCCCACTTTCTCCCGCGCCCTTGCCTCTCGGTCGTCCAGCATCCTGGGTCTGCTGGACATCATGCTGTGCGACCATCTAACGGCTGAGCAGGAGGCCAATCTGAGGCAGATGAAGTCGTGCTGCGCCTCCCTCCTGGGGCTGCTGAACAACCTGCTGGACCTGGCCAAGGTGGAGGCGGGGCGCATGCAGCTGGAGGTGTTGGAGTTTGACATTGTGGGCGAGCTCGAGTCGCTGGTCGACATGTTCAGCGTGCAGGGGCTCAGCAACGGCACGGAGATCGCTCTGGATTTGTCAGATGATATAGAGAGGACCGTGAAGGGAGACCCGTCCAGGGTCAGACAGGTGAGAGCGGGTTCCTGGAAACAGGCTGGTGCTGTTGTGCTTGTGTGGTGTGTGGGCTGTGGTGGATGGAATGGTGGGTGCTTGCATGCTTGTGTGGTGTGTGGGCTGTGGTGAAATGGTGGGTGCGTGCATGCATGCGCGCATGCAGCTGGAGGTGTTGGAGTTTGACATTGTGGGCGAGCTCGAGTCTCTGGTCGACATGTTCAGCGTGCAGGGGCTCAGCAACGGCACGGAAATTGCGCTGGACCTCTCGGATGACATCGAGAGAACTGTGAAGGGAGACCCGTCAAGGGTCAGACAGGTGAGAGTGGGGTGTTGCGTGGGAGGGGAGGGAAGGTGGTTTTTGTGTGTGTGTTCTGTGTTCCCCATGCTTCCCCTTCACAATCCACCAAGACGTTTCGCAATTCTCACTTGCCCTCAGCTCTCCCTGCCACTCCCTTTTTCCCCCTCTCCCTTTTCTCCCTCGTTTCCCTCGTTTCCCTTGTCTCCCTCGTCTCCCTCTCCCTTGTCTCCTTCTGCTCCTTGTCTCCATCGTCGCCCTATCCTCTCCTGCCGCCCGCCAGGTGTTCGCGAACCTGCTGAGCAACGCGTGCAAGTTCACGAGGAATGGGCAGGTCATCGTGAGAGGGTGGATGAGACACAACCCGCCGCCCCACCTCCGCGACTCGGACCTGTCCATCCCAGGGGAGAAGAAGTGAGTGGGGGAATTAGGGGCCTCTGTGTTTGAATCGCTTTTGGGAATTCTCGAAGGCAATTCCAGCACTTCCCGTGGCCCCACCTCCGCGACTCAGACCTGTCCATCCCAGGGGAAAAGAAGTGAGTGGGGGAATTAGGAGCCTCTGTGTTTGAGTTGAGACACATTGGCATGAAGGGAGGGGGAAACTACTGGGGTGGGGGGCACGGGTGGGTGAAGAGGAACGGTTGGGGGATGGGGCAAGAGAGGGGGGTGCATGGGAGGTGGGGCGGACAGGGGCGGGAGGGCACGCAGTTGGGGATTGGGGAGACTGGGAGGAAGGAGGTCAGGGGTCAGAGAGAAATAGGAGGAAAAGCCCGAGTGGAGCCTCATGGCCGTTCCCTCCACTCGCCCACGTCCTGCTACTACTTTGATGCAGTATCCCTCTCCTCATGTGTCCACTATTTATAGGTATCATTGGGGCGACGTGATAAAAGTAACATTTTGAGACGTCTCAAAATGTTACTTTTATCACGAGCGGAACCTCATGGTCGTTCCCTCCACTGGCCCACGTCCCACTACTACTTTGTGCAGTATCCCTCTCCTCATGTATTCACTATTTATAGGTATCGTATCCTTGGGGCGGACACATGAGTCGCCTCACCCCAGACCAACAGCCTCCCTCCCCACCGGGCCACCCCCACCCCCACCCCCACCCCCACCCCCACCCCCACCCCCACCCCCACCCCCACCGCCAACCCCACCCCACCCTCACCTCTGACCTTGATCTTTACCCCTACCTCACTTCATGGTACCAGCAGGCGGCTTTTGAGAGACCCAGAGGCCATCCCTCCCTACTGCCAGCCTGATCACTCCCCTAGTCGGTCATTCACACCCCAACCTTGACGCTCACACTCAAGCCCCCCTTGGCCCACGCTCCACTATCCCATCACATCCCCGCTGGTCCAGTCACATCCCTACGAAATTATTTTTCCCCTTCCTCCTCCCCCACTTCCCCCCACTTTCCCACCACCCTCCGCCTTCCCCTCCCTACTCTCCCTCCTCCCCTTCCCGTTGTCTCCCCTCCCTCCTTACTTCCCAGGCGAGCCAGCCACGATGCGGACAGCACGTCAGCTTCAGCCACAACCTTTGAGGCGCCTCAAAAGTCCCCTCACTCCCCCTCCTCCCCTTCCCGTTCTCTCCCCTCCCTCCGTACCTCCCGTCCCAGGCGAGCCAGCCACGACGCGGACAGCACGTCAGCTTCAGCCACAACCACCGCTGCTGCCACCGACGCTGCAGGCAGCGCAGAAAGCGACACATCAGACCCTTCAACAGCAGCAGGCGCAGCAGCAGCAGCAGCAGCAGGGGGAGCGGGAGGGGGCGCAGGGGCAGCGGGGGGGGCGGGTGCCGGGGGGAAGGAGGGGGCGAGGGAGAGGCGGATGGTGACGTTTATGTTTGAGGTGGATGACTCGGGGCCGGGCATTCCCGCGCACAAGAGGCAGCTCGTGTTTGAAAACTTCCAGCAGGCCGATGCTTCGACTAACCGCACCCATGGAGGCACGGGCCTCGGCCTGGGAATCGTCAAATCCCTCGTGCGTTTTGGCTTGGTTTGGCCTGCCGTTGTAGGGTTAGGTTTGTTGGTGGGCACATAGCCGTGTTGGACAAGGAGGGCCCACCGTGCAGCGGGGACGGGGGGGGGGCAACATTATCGTATGAATGAAAGTGCGATCCCGTTCGCCCCACTCCAACCCCTCCGTCCCCTCTCCACAGGTGCAACTGATGGGCGGGCACATAGCGGTGGTGGACAAGGAGGGGCAAGGAGCTCGCTTCCGGTTTGACCTGTGCTTTGAGGCGCTGGACCACAGCAGCGTGTGGAAGAACAGCATGCTGCAGCCCGAGTTCCTCCTCCCCAAGCTCACCACCGTCGAGGGCGGCCAGGTGCTCCTCGCCATGCACGAGGAATCCGCCGGCGCCGCCATCGCCTGTGCGTGGCTCGAGCGGCGGAAGCTGCACGTGTGGCGGGCCACGCAGTGGGGCGATATCATGCCGGCTGTCTCGTCTATGCTGGTTCATAGAGCGTCGGATAGAGCGGGGCTGCAGCCACGGGTGTCGAGATCTATGGTGGGGTTTTCAGCGCCGCTGGCTCGGTCGTTTCAGCCGGGCAGGGAGGGGGTTGGGGCGGGCGGGAGGGCCGGTGCAGGTGGGGGAGTGGGGAGGGAAGGGGTGTTTAATCCGATTCCGGAGCAGAACCAGAGCCAAGGGGCGTCGTTTAGGGACGGGGGAGGCTCGGCCAGCCCTGCTGCCGGTCCTGCTGGCCATCGCCCCACCACTCCAAGAGATCGTGTTCCCCCGAGCCAACCCTATGCCTCAGGCTCGGTAAATAGTGGTGCCTCGGTAGCAAGTCCCGCTGGGGCAGGGAGCAGCACAGGTACGGGCCGAGCCATGTCTCCAGCGTCGTCGTTTTCCCGAAGCTCCTTCAACGAGCACGGTAGGGTAAATAGCCCCGGAACGGTCGGGGACGACGGCGCAGGTACCCCCGGCGGCAACAGCTTCGGATCCGCCAACTCGCGGCTCGTCCTCGCGATAATCGACGTATCACTCGTCCCGAACCTCTATCAATTCATAGCAGAAGAGCTACATATATTCCGAGCCAGGCTGCAGCACCAGGGGTTTGTGATCGCGTGGCTCGTGGAGCACAACACGTCGGCGGATACCAGGCGGTCGCTGCGGCGGTCGGGGTGTGCGGTGGCGTCCAAGCCGCTGTATGCGTCCCGCATGGCGCCGCTGCTGGCGCTGGCGACTGCCAGGAACGGCGTGGCGCATTCCAGCTCGAGTATTGACATGCCGCCGCTGCCCAGTGCGGGGGCGGGGAGGAGGGAGCCGGGGGGAGGGGGGGGCGGAGGGGGGGGCGGTGGGGGAGGCGCGGGGCCGCACTGGCATGGGGAGGACTCGGTGAGAGACGCTCCCTCCCTCCCCTGCTCGCCTCGCCTGATAATCTTTTTTGTTTCTGTTTTTTTTTGCAGTTTTATTTTGTGCCGAATGACAAACAAAACCCACCCTCGTCCCATTCTCGCTCGGGTGTGAATGACGGCTCTCATCCTTCCTCCCTCTCCCCTCCCCTCCCCTTCCCTACCCTCCTATCCCCTCCCCTACCCTCTCCTCCCCTCCCCTCCCCTCCCCTCCCCTCCCACCCACTCTTCATCTCCCCTCCCGCATTCCACAGAGCTGGTCGCTCCCCCCGCCAGTGGAGGAGGAGGACGTGGCAATGGACAAACAGGCGCCCGCCACGTCAGCAGCGGGATCCCGCAGGGCGCTGCCGTCCCCGGCGTCGCTGGCAGCAGCAGCGGGCGGCATGTCACCGGCTGCCAGACTCATGGCACGGGGGGGCGTGGGGGGAGGAGCGGGAAGAGAGGGGGGAGGAGGCGGAGGAGGAGGCGGAGCAGGAGGAGGGGGGGGAGGGGGAGCAGGAGGGGGAGGGGGAGCAGGGGGGCTGGGAGGAGGAGGAGCAGTGGGGTCTCCTGGAGCTGGTGCAATTGGAGGGACTGGGGAAAGGCCAGGGGCGACAGGGGGCGTGGGAGGGGCGAATGAAAGTCAGAGGGATGGCGGCAGTGCCAAGGGGTCGACACACAGAGTGGGTCGCGCTCGGTCTATGAAGGTGAGAGTGTGTGCGTGTGTGTGTGTGTGTGTGCGTGTGTGTGCGTGTGTGTGTGCGTGCGTGTGTCTGCGTGTGTGTGCGTGCGTGAAGGTGAGAGTGTGTGCGTGCCTGTATGTGCGTGTGTGTGCGTGTGTGTGCGTGTGTGCGTGCCTGTATGTGCGTGTGTGTGCGTGTGTGTGCGTGTCTGCGTGCCTGTATGTGCGTGTGTGTGTGTGTTACGTCACTTCCTCACTCCTCCCTCCTTCTCCATTGCTGCCTCCTCCTCTTTCCCCTTCCCATTGGTCGTTTCCCTTCCCTGGCATGGCACGGCAGCATTCACCGGGGGCGGCAGGGGAGGGCAACTTCGAGACAGCGTTGGCGGGCAAGCGGGTGCTCATTGCTTTCTCCCCCGTTCCCCCTCACTCACCGTCTTCCCTCCCCTCCCCTCCCCTCGCCCTTCCCTTCCCTGGCATGCCGTGGCAGCATGCACCGGGGGCAGCAGGGGAGGGCAACTTTGAGACAGCGTTGGCGGGCAAGCGGGTGCTCATTTCGCTCCCCCTCTCCCCCATTCTCACTCAACCCCTTCCCTCCCCTGTCTTCGTGGCTCTCTTCCTTCCCTTCCCTGTGCGTATCACGGCAGCATGCACCGGGGGCAGCAGGGGAGGGCAACTTTGAGACAGCGTTGGCGGGCAAGCGGGTGCTCATCGCAGAGGACACGGCGCTGCTGCGCAAGGTGAGTGCGACGGTCAGGGCGGGCAGTCACAGGTTTGTACGCAGGGCTCTTTGGGAATGCAGGGCTCTTTGGGAATGCAGGGCTCTTTGGGAATGCAGGGCTCTTTGGGAATGCAGGGCTCTTTGGGAATGCAGGGCTCTTTGGGAATGCAGGGCTCTTTGGGAATGCAGGGCTCTTTGGGAATGCAGGGCTCTTTGGGAATGCAGGGCTCTTTGGGAATGCAGGGCTCTTTGGGAATGCAGGGCTCTTTGGGAATGCAGGGCTCTTTGGGAATGCAGGGCTCTTTGGGAATGCAGGGCTCTTTGGGAATGCAGGGCTCTTTGGGAATGCAGGGCTCTTTGGGAATGCACCGGCGCCCATTGCTGAGGACACGGCGCTGCTGCGCAAGGTGAATGCACGGGTGGTCACAACCGAGAACAGAGTGCTGCTCACGCCCCCCTCCCTATCCCCAGGTGGCCATACTCCGGATGCAGAGGCTGGGGTGCGAGGTAGGGACGGTATGGTGTGGTAGGTTGAAGCTATTCTTGCAACTCCCTTCCCCACGCCCTCCCCCTCACGCCCTCCCCCTCACCCCCTCCGCCCTTTCCCCAGGTGGCCATAATCCGGATGCAGAGGCTGGGGTGCGAGGTAGTGTAGGGTGGTGTTGCGGGCAGATGCTACTCTTGCTGCTTCCTCCTTCCCACCTCCCAACTCAACCCATCTCTCCCCTCCTCCCCCCCCTTCCTCCCCATCCCCATGCCGCCATAATCCGAATGCAGAAGCTGGGGTGCGAGGGGGAGGCGGCGGTGTGTGACATGTAACCAACTGCCTGTCTTCGTTGTCTGTTCTACTCCCAACAACTACCTCCATCCCTCCCCGTCTCTGCTCCTCCACTCCCCTCACTCCGCCCTTTCTTCTCCCTCCCCAGGTGGCGATAATCCGGATGCAGAAGCTGGGGTGCGAGGTGGAGGCGGTGTGTGACCGACTACTGTTCTTACCCCCTCCCCCCTCCTCCGCCTCCCCTCCCCTCACTCCCCCCACCTCCCTCCTGTTCCAGGTGGCGATAATCCGAATGCAGAAGTTGGGGTGCGAGGTGGAGGAGGCAGTGTGTGACACCTAACCAACTGCTTGTCTTCGTCTGTTCTACTCCCAACAACTACCTCCATCCCTCCCCGTCTCTGCTCCTCCACTCCCCTCACTCCCCCCACCTCCCTCCTGTTCCAGGTGGCGATCATTCGAATGCAGAAGCTGGGGTGCGAGGTGGAGGCGGTGTGTGACGGGCAGCAGGCGGTGGACGCCATTCTCGCCACCTACGCTGCTAGAGACACACAGGGCGACGCCGCCCCGCACTTCGATGCTGTGCTCATGGACTGCCAGGTATGCTTGCTTGCTATAAGGAACCTTAAAGTCACGTCGGTTCAATGTCATGTGCTGCCAGAGACACACAGGGCGACGCCGCCACGCACTACGATGCTGTGCTCATGGACTGCCAGGTATGCTTGCTTGCTAGAATGGCGTATGCTCGTATGCTCATGGACTGCCAGGTGGGCTTGCCGGATTGAAACCACTCCGTGTCGCTTTTGGGTTGACTCAGAGGTCACGTTGAGTCATGTCACATGCTGCCGGGTTGGGGGGTCACAGGGAGATGCGGCCACGCGATAGGATGCTGTGCTCATGGACTCTCAGGTAGGCTTGCTTGCTAGAAGCTACCTCTAAGTCACCTTGGTTTAATGTCAAGTGCTGCCACGGAAACACAGGGATACGCCGCCGCCACACGATGCGATGCCGTGCTCATGGACTGCCAGGTAGGCTTGCTTGCTAGAAGCAACCTTTAAGTCACCTTGGTTTAATGTCAAGTGCTGCTACGGAAACACAGGGAGACGCCGCCGCCACACGATGCGATGCCGTGCTCATGGACTGCCAGGTAGGTCTGGGGGGTTGCTCGCTCTTGTGCTCATGGACTGGGGGGGGGCATGGATGCGTACTCACCCCTTCTCATTCCCCACTCCAATATCCTGCCCCTTCTTTCCACCCACGCGCGTTTGAAACCCTCAACTTACGACCCCCTCGTCCCCTTGTCCCCTCGTCCTCTCGCCAGATGCCTGTGCTGGACGGGTACAGGGCGACAGCAGCCATAAGAGCAGCCACCCCGCACTTTGCACACACCCTCTTTCCCCCCTCGTCCACCTTCCAGATGCCTGTTCATGACGGGTACGGGGCGACAGCAGCCATCAGGGCAGCAGAGAGCGGAACGCGGTTCCACACGCCCATAAGAGCAGCGGAGGCCGGCACGCGCTTCCAAGCATGAACGCTCACATTCTCCCTTTTCATCCACCACTCCCCACCCCTTCCTTGTCCCCTCTTTCCCCCCTCGTCTACCTTCCAGATGCCTGTGCTGGACGGGTACGGAGTGACAGCAGCCATAAGAGCAGCAGAGAGCGGAACACGCTTCCACACGCCCATAGTGGCGCTCACAGCCCACGCCATGACGAGCGACGAGAAGAAGTGCCTCGATGCGGGCATGGACTCGTACCTGACCCCTTCCCACTCTTTCTCTCCCTGAACTTTGCACCTTCCTGCTTTTCAAGAACCCCTTCTTTCCAACCCCCTCTTCCCCCATCGTCCACCCGCCAGATGCCGGTGCTGGACGGGTACGGAGCCACGGCAGCCATAAGAGCAGCGGAGGCAGGCACCCAGTTCCACACGCCCATAGTGGCGCTCACAGCGCACGCCATGACCAGCGATGAGAAGAAGTGTCTGGATGCGGGCATGGACGCGTACCTGACCAAGCCCATCGACCCCGCCCTCATGGCGCACACGCTGCTCTCCCTCATGACGCGCTACCCGCGCTGCTGCGTGCCGCACATTGAGAGCATTGCGGAGGGCGAGGAGGGGAGTGTGACAGTTGAGGTTGCAGCTGCCACCTCTGCATCTGTGGGAGGAGTGGGTGCAGCTGGTTCTGGTTCAGGTGGGGGGGAGCGGCCGGCCTCTCCTGCTGCTGCTCTGGTTGTGACCATGCAGCCGTGATCCAGTGCGCTGGGCTGCAAGCAAGTAAGCAAGCAGGCAGGCAAGCAAGCGAGCAGGTGTGTGGAGGAGAAGAAGGAAGTGCCTGGATGCGGGCATGGACGCGTACCTGACCAAGCCCATCGACCCCGCCCTCATGGCCCACACGCTGCTCTCCCTCATGACGCGCTACCCGCGCTGCTGCGTTCCCCACATTGAGAGCATTGCGGAGGGCGAGGAGGGGGGTGTAGCAGTTGACGTTGCAGCTGCCACCTCTGCGTCTGTGGGAGGGGTGGGTGCAGCTGGTTCTGGTTCTGCTGGGGGGGAGCGGCCGGTGTCTCCTGCTGCGGCTCTGGTGGTGACCATGCAGCCGTGATCCAGTGCGCTGGGCTGCAAGCAAGTGTCTGTTTGGATGCCGCCGTTGTTGCAGATAGCTATCAAACGATCGCTGCTATGTGTGCAGGGAGGGCCTCGATGAAGGGAATGGGGAAGAGGAGGAGAGTGGGGCAGAGGGTGAGGGGTCCAGCGTGTGAAACTGCTGCTTCTGCCGGTACCCTCACCCTCTGCCAGCATGTTCCACTCTCCTCATGCTGGTCCCCTGGAGCTGCTGCTGCAGTGGAACGGCTTGTTGCCTCTCCCGCTGCCTCGCCTGCTGCCCCTCCAGCTGTGGCGATGCAACTGTGATCCAGCGTACCAGGCTGCAAGCGAGTGTTCGGATATGCTGCCCCTCCAGCTGTGGCGATGCAACTGTGATCCAGCATACCAGGCTGCAAGCAAGTGTTTGGATATGCTGCCATGAACGCACGTACCTCACTAACGTACCTCGCCAAGTGGCAAGCGCATGAGCCCCGCTCTCCTGGTGCAGATACGATAGAGCGGTTGGGTGCAGCCCAGGGAGTACCTGTGGTGCTGCGTGCAGCGGGGCAGGGCAGAGGGTACAGATCCGCCCAAGGTGCTCGTGCTGCTGTTGCCCCTTTCTTTCTGCCCTGCTCCTGCTGCCTCTTTCCTGCTGCCCTGCTCCTTCTGCCTGCTGCTTCTTCCCTGCTCCTGCCCTTTCCTCTGCTGCTTCCCCGCTCGCCAGAACCGCGGCTTGGCACGAGAAGGATTTGGTAGCAGCAAAGGGGAAGAAAGAGTTGAGCCATTACAGAGGTGGAGAGGAGTGTGGTTTGGCACGGTGGCTTGTGTGGAAAGAAGCTCAGCAGCACAGCTGGCGAAGCAACACTGCTGGGTACCCAACACCGTGGGCTCGGGAACAACACTGGGCCGGGAGCAGCACAAGAGCACCACCGCAGGGTCGGCAGCAGCACAAGGGCTGGTTTGGCAGCAGCAAAAGGGCAGGTTCGGCAGCAGCACAAGGGCAGATTCGGCAGCAGCACAAGGGCAGGTTCTGCAGCAGCAAAGTGCAGGTTCGGCAGCAGCACAGAGCAGGTTTGGCAGCAGCAGGACAGATTCGGCTGCAGCACAAGGGCAGGGTCGGCAGCAGCACAAGGGCTGGTTTGGCAGCAGCACAAGGCAGGTTCGGCAGCAGCACAAGGGCAGGGTCGGCGGCAGCACAAGGGCAGGTCGGCAGCAGCACAGGCATGGGTCGGCAGTGTGCAAATCTTCTCGGCAGGAACATGGGCGGTGGGCAGAAGGGAGGGCGTGGCGCCATGAGAACACCATCCCATGCACACACTCACTCACTCAGAACCTTTTGTCGTGTGTGTGGTTTGCAATGAGCCAGCTTCCCGCACCGGCAACAGCAGCAAAGTGGTTGCCACGAGAGAGCTGCAAGGAAAGGCGGCGCGGCAGCAGCCCCTGAAAAAATGCATGCAAAGAGAATGGGAGAGGGGTGAGGGCCAGGAATGGAAGGGAAATGTATGGCAAAGGCCCAACGGTGCAAGGGCTCTTTCATCACCCCCCACCCCATGCTCCCACCAATTAATTCCTTCATTCCGGCTATTCGCACGGCGACCATCGTAACAACCACTTTTGTCGCCACGCGAAAGGAGCCGCTTAGTCTGCACGACTGGGTACCATCACAGATCAGAAACTCTCATTCCTTTAATTACCTAACACAGGTGGATTGTCGGGCTGGTCTCGACAGTGCAATGCACTTCACACTGTTGCATCGTTTATAACACTAACCGGACATTCCCTTGTGCTTCTGGGGTGTACTCCTGCGTGGTGCTCCTTCAGAAGCAGGCTGGGCTGCATCAGTGCATCGCCCACAATGCAAGTCAACAGTCACTATGTGCTCAAGAGCCACTCATTGCTTATGCATGTGATTTCTCTGACAGTAGTGCGGCGCCAAGTTTGGCGCTCCACAAGCCAAGTTTGGGAGGCGACAAGCCAAGCCACAGGCGAGGCGACGTTATGGGTGCGAAACTAGCAATCGAATCAGACTGTAGAGGGGTAAGGCTGTCTGAGCATGTTGGTAGAAATACCCTAGGTGCTCTCATCTCAGCGTACGGATGTGCAGGCATAGGGGTAGGTCTGTGTCTGTAATGTAATGTTTTAATGCTGTGTCATGTTATGTGACCAGTCACATGGTCAACCTTTTCTAGCAAGCAATCCAGCCTCCATAGTCGATATGCAATTTCCAACTCTCATAAGCATTCACTAAACTTATAACCATAGATCTTTTGATATTACAATAATGAGCCAAATTCTCCTTATTGAGGACATCAGGATTCTCATGGCGATTCCGAACGAACGTGGTCTGTCTGCTTCAAAGTGGAAAACCTTGACGTTCTTGCAGCATTTAGGCGACCTTGACAACGCCGCGTTGTGCGAGATGATTGGCCGAGGCCTCAGGCAGGGCAGCTTTCAATGCTGCCCGGCGCATGATGCCAAAACAGAATTGCTGCCAGCACGACGAGAACGACCTTTTTATCTGCTTGCCGATAGGCCAAGCCCAGAAATTCAACTTTCCATCAGGACGCAATTTGTTGCTTGTGGCATTTGAAGATTCACTTTTCTCGGCAGTGCGGTCCAGGGCATGGAGGGGATCCTCCAACCAGACCAAAGCAGGAGCAGGAATAGCAGCAAGCAAAGCTTCACAATGCAAGGCGTGCAGAGGGAGGATATCAGACACGCGGAAAGTCACTTTTACTTGTCAGTCCAGTTTTTGGGTGAGCGATCCTTACGTGGTGGCCCGTTACTCCTCCTGCCGCTAACACGCTGGCTGCTTCTTGTGTCGCTTGCTTGGAGTTCAAGAAACATTCTGGTTCATCGCCTCGTCTTGGGAGGACGCTACACACTTTTGAGTCTTAATCTGGCGAATGCTGTCGTGAAACCACCTTGATTCTCCCTTCTCAGGGACTCTGTGTACCCCATACATTTCCTTTCATCTTCCTTCGATCGATTGCTCTCGGAAAAGCTCACACTATGGACGACTCCATTCTGTTGCTACTGCCTGACAACAGCGTCAACATTATCCAGCCAGACGCCACCGTCCACGTCAGCGATGTCATGGCTATGTACCCCGGCTGCCACGTCAGCAGCCTCGACTCCGACGAAGCCGTTTTATCAACCCATACCGTGCTCCTTCCGGGACGCACGTATCACGTCTTGACCCGCGGGGTGATACTCGGGAGCGACTTTTCAGAAGAAAACACTTTCAAGAAATTGGCACGAGAGCCTTCCGTTTCAGCGGAGCGCGACGGCCCGTCGCCCGAGTCGGAAATGGCGAAACCCAACCTTGAAACCGACGCGGCTGCCGGCACCCGGCCCTTTAAAGGCGTTAATAATAGGCCAAATCGGCGGTCGAACGCACTTCAGACGGTGGAGCAGGCGGTCAGCGCGTTTGGCGCATGTGTCGACGACACCACCAGCCGCGCCGGTGATTTCGCGACCGAGATGGCGAAACGCTTTTCTCCCGACGACGACAGATGCGGCCCCGAAGCCCTTCCAGGCAACCTTTCGCGCTTCGCCACCTGGGCGGATGATGGGAACGCGTCGCGAAGGCGTATGATCTCGCGATCCACCACTCATGATTCAGGACCCGGCGGATATGACGTCAGCGAAATCACGAGTGGAATGGCGACTTTCGCAATGGAGGACGCGATGCCGTTCTCCGGCGATCACATCGCCGCGCATCACGCCATGGTGCAACCGCAGCACCGGTTCGCCTCTCCAGTCGCCGCGCATCTCGGCAACCATGCGGCCGCGTACCGCAGCCGACACAGACGGGTCGCTTCGCAGTCCCGTCTTTCCCCCGATGGCCCCAACGGTCCCGCCGCTGCCGCTGCCGGCGCTGACAACTGGACCGGCCACGTATCGCCCGCGCATCCATTCACGCAACTCCCGCCCTTTGCTTACGCTTCGTCGACGCAGCTTTCCCCGGACTCGCTCTCGTCCAACGGATCTTTCTCCGAATCCAACAGATCTTTCTCCGAATCCAACAGATCTTTCTCCGAATCCAACAGATCTTTCTCCGAATCCAACGGATCTTTTTCCGAATCCAACGGATCTTTCTCAAGCTCCATCGCTCTGACCACTCCCCACGATAGCACAAGTCCCGGCTTTGCGGCTAAGTTATTCCCACCTTCCAGGCGCTTCCCCAGCAGCGGCTCGGTCAACGGCAGCAGCTGTGGCAGCATTCCGATTTCCGAAGAGCAAGAGGATTTGAACGCCACCCCTCACGATTCCCCTAGCCGTCCCCACAGACTGCTGAGTGGCAGTTTTAGGGTGGTGTCTTCACCAGGAAGAGAAGACAAACGTGACGGGAAGCACGACTCACACGGGAAGGCTTCGTTGTTAAGATGGTTTTCCAAAAAGCACGGGGAGAGCAATGAAGGGAATTCCAGCCATGGACGGAAAGCAGGTTCCAGCCGACTTTCTGGGCTGTACATAGACAGCAACAGTGGCACTTGGAGCGAAGAGTGGTGCTAGAAACCCTACTGTCACTATGTGGACTCTCCTCCCCATCCCCTTCCCCCCTTATCTGTATTAGAAACCTAGGGCACCTTACAGTGGGCCTCAGGAGAAACGTAGGCACCTGACTACCCCTCAGCAACATTTTTCCTCTTAGGATTATATATATGACGCTTTTTTGTTTTGTATTTTAAGGTGAAAGTGATTTCTCTGGTTGATATGCTTGTTTATAACACTAGTCGAATTGGATCGCCAAGGACCGTATATTCTGGTGCTCTTGTCATAACGTGCTTATGTTGAAGGGTGAACAAGGCGGTGGGGTGCCGCCAAGCCAAGCCAGCTGATGACACCTAGATCAGTTGGAAAAGTTTCAGAATTGCTCATTGTGCAGGCCGCTTCTAACCAACTCCGCGTCACCACTGTTGAAAGTAAATTCCTGGGCAGCCACGCATCTGTCAGAACTCCATTGCCAAGTGTGTGTAGGTTATAGGTGTTGAATTTCAATATTTCACTCTGGTCAGCGGGTTTCAGGGTCTGGACCAGCTCGACCACGGGCAGACAATTTGCCAAAACTCTGCCACTGGTGCCCCATCCACCATGAATGAGGTGAGGTGGTTCCACGCCGATTCCGAGTGCGAGCTCCAGTGGCGTGGCGATCGACGCGCTAAGGTCGTCCGAGGCGGAGTGGGTGGAGCGAGGGGGTGGGGAGCAGGAGTTTGGAGAGGGAGCACCATGGGTGGACGTGCCCTACTTGGTCGACATGCGGCTGTAGATGTCTTAGGAAGCAATACTTTGTTTCGGGTTTTGGCGATGGTCTTTTGATGTTTGAGGTAGTAAGACACTTCTAGGAAGGGTTTATGCATGTCTGTATGCTTGTTGAAACATTTTAGTGCACGCGTTTACAGTCGTTTCAAAAAAAAAAAAAAATGATGTCCACTGCCACAAATGGACTTTCGTTATCATCTGCGCCGCGCTGCCAGAGACGAAACCTACCGCCTAGTAAAAACCAACTTCGACGCATCGAAGCCAACTAAACCCAACTATAACCCTTCTAGAGTCGATTTATGATGCATGGCAGTACATTCCACCACAGGCCACTTGGAGGAAGGCTGCACCGTCACTCATAACCCGAGCCCGATTCATCACTCTCCCTCAGGCCTTTGTGGTGGCTGGCTTCACGAGAACCAGTTTCGTTCCATTTCAATCCATTCGCATCAGCGAAGCTGTGTAGTCGTTCCTGTGAACCAAGCCTACTTCCAATATCCTCCAGCCTCCCTGCGGCTCCTATTCCACAGCATATGGTGAATCCGTCATCAGTCGCTTGCACTTCCTTCCACATCATTCAACTGGCTATCATTGTCGCCTCTCACTGACACTAACGTGTTTCACGCGTTCATGTTGCATCGCCAGCTTCCATTCCATATCCCTCTTCTACTAACCAGTCCATAAGTCATCTGGAGTGAGTAAAGCGTTCCTATTCCATACCTGAACCGTCACTTTCAACCAGAACCTAGCACAACATTATTTCGCATCGCTAAGCTATCACTCCTCGTTGTCATCAGTCACTTTGCCACGCAGTCACCCCAGATTAGCCCCCCAGTTACCCGCACATTCGCCTCACAGTCACCGGCATATAGCCCCGCAGCAGCGCGCAATCTCTCTTTTGACCCACCAGGGAAAAGAGCACCAAGAAATCATCGTTGGTATAAAGTTGCGCGCGTTTTGTTAAGCTTGAGAGACGCGTGGAGTCGCGAGTTTTGATTCGTCATGGCGGCTGATATAGCCGCGCGTTCGTCCCTTCCGCCGCACCACATGCGACACGAGCTGTCCGCGCCTCGCTCTTTCGAATCGCCTCTCAAGAACCGAGGATCTTACGGCGACCAATCAGAATCATCATCCTACTCCACCCATCCCCGCCACCCATCCGACTTGTCTCGGCACCAGATGCAGCAGCTGTCGTCCGCAACCGCCGCCGCAACACACGCCGCCTCCGCCGGCTCCATCACTTCCGCGGGTGGCGGCGCGTCGGCGGCGATACGCTGGATTCGCGGACCTAGTCTAGGCGGCGACCCCGCCGGAAAAGTAAATCTCGCGTTAAATTCTGACACGGGCGAGGTTCTGGTGGTCAAGTCCGTGTCGATTAATAGCCTTCCTAAGACCATGCGGCAGCTGGAGAACGAGCAGGCAATTCTGGAGGAGCTCCGAACCTGCCCGCGCGTGGTTCGGCTGCTAGGCTCGGCGTGGGAATCCGACCCTGCGTCCGGAGCTCGGGTGAAGAATCTGTTTCTCGAGTATGTTTCTGCTGGGAGTGTGCTCGATATCATGGGCACGTTCGGATGCTGCGGCGGCGACAGCGGCGGCGGAGGCGGGGGGTGCGCAGGGCTGCCGGAGGCGCTGGTGCGGAAATACGCGCGTGGGATTGCGGAAGGGTTGGCGGAACTGCACGCCCGCGGGATTGTACACTGCGATGTGAAAGCGGCGAATGTGCTAGTTGCGGGGGGGAAGGGGGAGACGAAGCTGTGCGGTCTGGGCGTGGCGATGCGCGCGGGGGAAGCGGCGCAGCGCATCGCGCGGAAACAGCGGCTGCAGGGAACGTACGGCTGGATGGCGCCGGAGGTCGTGCGACAGGAAGATCAAGGGTTTGCATCGGACATTTGGTCGCTCGGGTGTACAGTAATCGAAATGGCGACGGGCTCGCCGCCTTGGACCGGCCAACTGCCGCCGGCCGGTAATATAGACGGCGAGTACATGGCCGATCCGACTCCTGACGCCCTGCTGCACGCGATTGGTTACTCCAACGCGGCGCCAGCTATTCCGGCGCATCTGTCGGCGGAAGCTGTCGGGTTTCTGCGGAGATGCCTCGAGAGGGATCCCGCGCGCCGCCCCTCCGCCGCGCAACTTCTAGAACACCCGTTCCTCCGCGGAAGCGTGATCGGCTCCGCGGGTGCCGCGCCCGCCGGGTACCCCATGGCGCAGCAAGCTGCGCGCCCGCCCAGTGGGGGGCGCGGGAGCGGGGCGCGGCGGAATGAGGAGAGCGCGGGACCGAGAGCAGGCGCAGGAGAAAGCTGGGCGCGTCAAGGCGCAGGAGGAGGCGCAACGGGCGCGGAAGGTTTCTACTGTGAGGGGCGGGAGAGAGGGGAGTGCGAGTGGGAGGAGGGGGAAGCGGAGGAGGCGGAGGAAGAGATGGAGGGGTATGGATGGGAGGATATAGGGGTGAGCTTCGGCCCCAGTGGTGCTGAAGGGATTCTCGCATCTGGCCCTGTGCAGCCTTCCTCGGGCTCTGGTGGTCTTGATCCAACGGTCAGACGCAGAGTTGGTGCAGGTTCAGGCGGGATTTCAGGTGGGAACTCAGGTGGAAATTCGCCTGGTAGGCTGGTGTCCCAGGGTAGCCTGCCACCGGGTGGTAATCAGTTACCACCACTTCGCAAGTCGCCACTGCAGAGGTCGCAGTCCCAGCCAGGGCAGGTGATTCTGGCGAACACAGGAGGTGGCGGTAACAGCAGTAACTGCAACAACTCGCAGCCTTCGCGACAATCCGCCTCTCAAAAGCCCATGCCGCAAGTACAATCGCCATACGCACCTCCCCCCATGCCTTCCGCCCCAGCTAATCAGCCCATGCCGCCAATGCCAGCCGCAAACCTGCCGCCCGCCCCCGCGCCACTGTTCCACCCATCAGGCATCCGCATGGGTCCCCTGATGCGACAAATCTCCAAAGATCAGCTTGCCCTGCGCGCGGCCATGGCTGCAGCAGAGACCGGTGGTGGCCTTGGTGGTAACCAGGACAAGGGTGGTGGTAACCAGGAGAGGAATGGTAACCAGGAGAGGAGCAGTAACCAGGAGAGGAGCAGTAACCAGGAAAGGGGCGGTAACAGCTATGGCCAGGGGCATGCTGCTTCCTCCGCAGCGCCTGTGCCCCCCTTGCCTGGGAGGGCGGGCTTGGGGCGGGCATCGCACCAGCGGTCCAGCTCTGTGCAAGGTGACTTTGGGGGACGTGACTCTAATGTGAATATTTCTTCTGCGGATAAACCATCTCTGCGATTGGTCAGAGGCTCCTCTGGAATGTTACCAGGAGCGTCCGCGGCTCAGATTAGTGAGTTTCAGCATTATGGTAGTGGTATTAGTGGTGAATTTGGTGGTGTAGATAGTGCAAGAGGCGGAAGCAGCATGACAGGTGGTGGTCAGGGAATTAAATCCTGCCTGAGACGAACGAGCTCCTGTGTGCCAGGGGATAGTGGCGGGAATGATGTGGGCGGGAGCCTGGGGAGAGGCGTGGGAGGGAGGGGAGGGGAGAGTGGCTTGCAGCGGATGGGCTCTTTGACGCAGGCCAAGAAGACAGTGGCGTTTGGCGCAAATTGAGTGGGGATACCCTAAGTGCAATGTAGCTTATTGGGGTGTACAGGGAATGCATGTGCATTGCACAGACCATAAGGTAGTTTGTTGTATGCTTGCACCTTGCAGGCTAGGATTGTTGTACACCTCGGAGTTAGGGGACTTGTTTCTAGATCCAGGCTTGTCTTATTCGTGCCATTTGGCGACACATGTTCCCACTGTGTGGTTCAGCCATCCATGCTCCCACCCGTGCCCCTGTTGCAATGTGGATAACAGTGGTCACAGCTAGAATTGATTGTGTCTGTTGGATCAGTCACTGTCATTTAGGATGAAACCCTATCACTGGTGCTAAACCCTAACCCTAACCTTACTCCCTGAACCCTCAATATTGCATGTTGTGAACTGCAAGGGCTTCAGTACATATCTAGACTAGGGTGGTGATAAAAGGAGTGATGATAATACAGTTCGCTGTTTGCCAGAAGGTAGTAAATCTCCAGTGCATCGTCCGAGATTTGTGATCTCCTCATCGTTGATATCGAGGATATCGCATGAAGATTGAAATGGTTGGCGGAGCCTTTGAAACGACACTTGGGTTCAGGGGGGGGGATCTGTTCTGCGTGCAATAGTCGGACAATCGCCCGATTCCAACTCCAAATTTGGTGTAGAGAGGTTGCTACGGGGCGAGGGGGGGAACAAACACTCGAGTGTGAGAAAACACCTCTGAGGGTGGGCGAAGGAAACAGGGAGGAGGAGGAGGTGGCGTCAAAGGCGGACAGGAGGTGGATGAGATGTATACCAATTGTTTAAACCGCTGGGAACATGGAAAACAACCGTGGCATTGTTCGAAAGTTCTGACAGAAGATGTGTGTTTCCGGCAAAATCAGGGTGATTTCTCTTCTAACCGTCCATGGGTAGTACACTGTATGGGTGTCATGCACGATGCGAACCAGTCGAATCTCGTGAAAAAGCGTGCGCCAAGAATTCTCCACACGCTTTGCTGACCTGGAACGGTCCCTCTGTGTCACCCACACACTTTTGCTGACATGACGAAACTTCGTGTGAGGGCCGGAAAGTTGGTGGTCTTGTCGTCCGTACGCACAACTCGTTGCCCGCCCCCCATAGTTCATTTGGCCAATCAAAATCCCTTCTCAAATCCAGCAAGGCAAGTTATGCACATGCCAGCTTGCCGCTGAAGCTTGAAAGCAGCTGTGGGTGTTGCCCGTGCCCGTTGTCCAAAAAGTGTGGCCCTCGGTGGTCGCGTCGCATCCAAACCAACTCATGGCACGATCCAAAACCTCCACTTTCCGCCGCCACCAGCTCCCGGGTACAGTATTTTAGTTCATGGCCGGATTTGAGTAATGTTCAAGTTACACCTTCTGATTCAGGGTCCATCAACAAAGTTACAGAATATAGTACCGTATGTACATTTTGAATGTCGAAATCGTTGTCGTTTCAGTGGAGAACGAATCAGGACTCTGTCTCAAGAATGTTTAGACAGAACAGATTATTCAATGTTTATGAGGAATCGAGATCCCAAACCCCACGATCCCGACCAAACGTGTGGTCAACGGTCAAGATTATGGGGCAGGGAGGGGAGAGGGCGAATTTGGAATTGGGGAGGGGAGGGAAAGGAGTGGGTCGAGGGAGAGAGAGGGGGGTGGAGGAAGCAGCTCTTGGGCGGAATGGGATTTCGTAAATGCAGCAACGACGAGGCAACAATTGTGCTTCAGCACGCGGAAGTAATGAAGCGTTGGCGTTTGGATGTGTGGTTTGAAAGGGCGTGGAAGTCCTCCTTGGAATGATTTGAAGGTAACGAAACAAACGTCCTTTTCAAACACTTGGTCGAGTAGAATGTCTGAAGTATGGAAGTGGAACGTCAAGGCGTGCTGAACACCAGACAATCAACACTTCAAATCGCGAGACACCAGATCCACCGCACCAGAGCGTCACGTAAGTGTGTACTAAGCGTCATAAGAATGGCCTAACATAAGGAGCAGAGTTGTAATAAAACGTGGCGTAACCACGATTAAATCGAAAAATATGCGGAATTTCGGGTACTCGGTAAACTCTATCCATAGTCCAGATCAAACCTCGTTTCACTTCACTTCGCTCTCCAGACCAGGCTGGTCGAGAGACTCGGAATAGCCTTGGTCAACCGAGCCGCCATCGTGGCTTGTGGTGTTTCCTTCAACTTCAAATTCCTAGACACCAGAGCCACCACACCCGAGCGTTCTTGACCGCCTACACCCGCACCTACAACAACCTCAGGTCATATTTTCGAGCTAGTAAATCACCTGAATCATTACTGCCTCAGGCGGAAGCCAGTGTGGTGTTGGGCAATACAAGCAATAGAGGTTAATACAAGCACTATAGGTTATTTTATACATAGATATACAACCGCTTTAGCTATTATGTAGTGTTTTCCAGAGCATAATCAAGTGAAAATTCTTTACAAGCGTACCAATAACGGATAACAGAACATTTGAACTCCCGAGTATCTAGTGTACGCCCTTACGTGTCCCCTCCCGCTTCCATCGCAGCTTCATTGTTCGTCCTGGGTCAAATAATGTGGAATCCTGGAGTACAGCAAAGCAAAGTAGGAACAATTTGGAAATCTCATTCCCAGCCTCACAAGAGTGACTCTTCGGCGCTGAAAGGAAAAGACACTCCCGGCATCCAACTCAATTCTTAGGTTAGGTACCCGTAGCAGTCCGCGGGAGTCCGCCGTGCAACTTCGTGACTTGCCCCAAGAGTCGAAAGATTTACTTCGCGTTGCACGCGCGCAGCGAAGCGCAAGGAGATCTCGAGTTTCAAAGTGCGCGGAAAGGAGATATCGAATTTCGAAGAGCTCCTCGATCGAGTCCTAAATCCTGCGACGTCAACCGCCGCCGTTAATCCTCGTCCGCATCAACGACCACTACCGCCGTCGCCATGTGTCCCGGAGGCGCTAACGCCGGGTTACCCATCCACTCGCTACACTTCGTCAACTCGATCTTCGAGGATCTCGAGCCCGCCGCGGCGCAATCGGTGCACTGGCCGGATTGCCCATCATCCGGCGCCCCCCGCGCGCCGCCCAAGTTCTCCGCGGGTGGCTGGACGCGCCTCACTCAGGCGCTGAGCAACGGACGCGCGCTGACGCCGTCGCAGAAGAATTGGGACGTGAAACGCGACGGAAAGCGGGGCGTCGCTGGAACCGGAGCCGCGCGGACCTCCAAGGCGGCGCCGCCGAAGTCAGCCGCCTCCGCCAAGCCGCGGTCAGCTTCACGTCCGCCGCCGTCACTCGGCGGTGCCGCCGATTCTGAAACGGACAGCGAACCGGCGCTTCTTCTGCTTCCCGACGGCTCTGTCCAAATCTTCACGTCTTCGTCCCACTCTGTCGCCGAGTCGCGTAGCCCAAAATTGGCTGGCGACGCCACCGCCGCCGCGAATGACGACAGAAGGCCCACCCGCGCAAGCGACGTGCTTCAAAATCACCCAGGTTGCCAGGTGGGGTCGCTTACGTCATCCAATGGCATCCTTCGCCCCCAGCAAGTGATGAAGCCCGGCCACGTGTACTTCCTCCAGCCGCCTCAAGCTCCGACGAACGCCGCCGCGCTTCCAGCTCCCGATGTCAACAGAATCAATCCAGGCGATGACGAGAGTGCCTCCGCTGCATTGACCTTACAACAAGACGGTGCTACTAACGCGGATCAAGCGGTTGGAATCCAAATGGAGGAGGAAGAACACACCCTGGACGATGTGACTATAACGGAGGAGGGACTGATGGCGAGCATTCTTGGAAACACGTACAAGATCGCTGAAACCAATGTGGTTACCCGAACCCTCTCCAACAACAACCCTACCATCACCACTAGCGCGAGCAGCGGCAGCAGCAGCAGCACTCGCACTATGAGAAGAAATGCTTCAGTGGGGGAGAGCTCCCGCTGGAGAGCAGCAACATCTTCAGCAGCATCGTCTGCGAATTGCTCCCCCTCACTGCTCCCAGAAGCACCGACCCTGCAGCCTCCTCTCCTCTCCCTCGATCGGCGCACCCTCTCCCCCTCCCCCATGCCGCCATCCCTCTACCGCACTCCCTGCGCCTGCTGCAGCGCCAAACGCCCCACCACCCCCACATCCCACTCCTCTCCAGCCCTCACCCACTCGCTCACCCTCTCCTCTGCTGCATCGAATTCCACGTTCCCATCCCCCATGCTCTCCCCAAGATGCCCGCCCTCCCCACCATCCCCATTGCCATCCCTTCCTTGCTCAGCTCAAGGCTCCAGTCGCCCAAAAGTGGCCAGCCATTTTTTCGCGGTTCCGGAAGATCTCAGCTTCCAGCTGGACAGTGCTGCCGCCCAGATATTTGCCGCTGCCGCCCAGGAGCCCTCGCCGTTGATGCACCGTGGCTGGTGCACTGCCGGGCGTAGCATCCACCCCAAGTTTTCATCTGGCGTTGGCTGCAGCGAGTGTGACAATGACGCAGGTGCTACAATGCGGAGCTACAGTGCACGATACGGTGGTGCTAAACTTGCAACCAGCACTGGATTTGCCCGCGTCAGCAGCAATGGCGGCGACAGCAATGACAGCTATGGCATGACAGGCAACAGGCACAGGAGAAGCTACTCCCGAGGGCTGGAATCGACGGAAGTGCAACAGGGCGGGGACAATGCGTTTGAAAGGGGACAAGTGCAGCGGCAGCACAACCCCTTTAGAGTGCGTGGAAGACCTGTGGTCACTGCAGAGGACATGGTGTTTGGCCGCGTCGCTTCCAGTCTGTCTTGATGGAATGGCGAACCTAACCCATGCCCCCACTTGCTCGTTCCTGGTTTGTTTTGCGTTATTGCCGATAGCTTGTAGTACTAATAGAGTGGACGTGCGTAATTCGCTTGGTTTGCCAGAACTTGCAGAATTGAATGAGCTTGTAACTTACCTTGCTGTGAGTAGACCGAGCAGCAATAAGCCTGATACCGTACATGATCCAAACTGCGGAAAGGGCAGTGGAAGTTGTTTTGAGAAAGAGAGGTGAACAGATGTGAGGGATGGTGGAC